TGTAAAGGCACGGGGTCCGGTGGCCAGCCTCATCTCCCCAGCCCTCTGGGCTCCCAGCTTCCCTTGCCATCTTGAGGAATTGTCTGCTGGGGGCCTCCTACAACTCAGCCCAAATTCAGGGAACCCTGGGGTCCGCGGGATAGATGGCAGAGCCCGGGTGTCCAGAATCTGGTCACAGCGTGTTAGAGGGCACTGCTGTAATTCTCTCCCTCCCAAATGGGCTGCCAGGCAGGGACAGAGACAGACTTGGGTCTTCAGGGCCCCACCCAGTGAGGGGCAGGAGTGTTGGATGGGTTTCGCAGCACAGGCACGTGACAAGTGGGAGGCCTTGGGCTGACCTCACCCACACCCAAGGGAAGACAGAGGAATGGTGTGTAAGTGGAAGATTCCAGGGAGCCTAGCAGAGCAGAAGGGCGAGGTCCAGGGAGGGGGCAGTGAGGAAGGCTGGGGATAGGGGAGGGCAGGGAATAAGCAAGGTGAGAAGACACCCCAAAATGGAGCGTGGAAGGGCCAGGGGGGTTGGGGGGAGGGTTGCAATGGAAGCAAAAGTGCCTGGGAAGGCAAAGGTGACTTCTGGATCGACTGGAATAAGAGGGGAGCAGCCCCTTCAGCAGCTCCCGGGAGAACCAGGGATCAGGGAAGGGTAGCAGGTGCAGGTGTGGTACACATTTCATGGCAGTGGGACATGGAGGGGCCTGACCTCTGGCCACACCCACTAGGGCATTGGTGTGTGTGGGGGTGGGTGAGGGGGTGGTGCCAGCAGGTTCATGGCAGGAATGCATGGACTCAGCCACAGGAAAAAGTTAAGTTGGGTGGATGGTTAAGTCAGTCAGAAAAGTTGGTGAGAAGCAGCAGATTTGGTTCAAGAATAATTGATCAGGGTTACTAAGCAGATGGACCACAGAAACAGCTAAGAGGACGCTGAGAATAGCAGCAGATATAGGGGGTTTATCAGAGAAGGTGGAGGCAATTTGGGGGCTCCTTGCTCCAGGCTGAGGGTTTGAGGCCACACTTGAGGTCCTGGGAAGACCAGCGAGGCCAGAGTTACAGAGGCCCAGTGTTACAGAACAGGGCCCCCGGCAGGCTGGCAAGAGGGAGAGAGAGCTGGAGCCACAGAGCAAGGTGGGGCCTGGCCACAGAGCCAGCCAGCCTAGGGCCTGGAGCTACGCACCAGGTCGTGACCCGCCCTGATGGACCAGCTGATAGAGATCGCTTGGGGTCAGGCTGCAGCCCAAACTGGGATTTCCTGGGAAGATTATAGGAAACCCTTGAAATTCCTGGTAGAAGCCCTTCCAGGCCAGCCTGCATTAGGGTCAAGCAACTAATAAACCATGTAGTCAAAGCTATGATTTTTCCAGTAGTCATGTCTGGATGTGACAGTTGGACCATAAAGAAGGCTCATCCTGAAGAACTGATGCTTTCGAACTGTGGTGCTGGAGTAGACTCTTAAGAGTCCCTTGAACAGCAAGGAGATCAAAGCAGTCAATCCTAAAGGAAACCAACCCTGAATATTCATTGGAAGGACTGATGCTGAAGCTTCAGCTTCAATACTTTGCTCACCTGATGCAAAGAGCTGACTCATGGGAAAAATCCTGATGCTGGGAAAGATTGAGGATAGAAGAGGCAGGGGATGAGATAGTTGAATGGCATCATCAACTCAATGGACATGAGTTTGAGCAAACTCCTAGAGATAGTGAAGGACAGGGAATCCTGGCATGCTATAGTCCATGGGGTCACAGACTCAGACACAACTGAAGCGACTTAGCACACACGCATGCACACTGCGCCAGAGAGGAAACTAGACTTCCCACCCGGCTTAGAGCCCCTTCCTCTCCTCTAGGCCCTGAGGGCTTCGCTCAGATCCTCACCCCTGCCTTCAGACCCACTGGTGCCCAGTTCATGGCTCCTCCAGGCCCTGGCTCCAGCTGCCCACTCCTTGTACACACACACCGTCCCCACCCCTGTTTTAGGGAAGCTGGAACTGTGAGTGGAGGGAGGGAGGGGAGGCAGAAAGGATGCTCCTCACAATCTCCCCTCTGACCTCCAGCACCAACAGGCAGAGGGGGAAGGGACCCCAGCACTGAAGCAGTCATTTCTGCAGTCCCCATCTACTCCTCTGCCCTCTCCCCGAGCCCGGGGGCCCCCACGCCCACTCGGCAGCAGTTCTGGAAGTTCTGAGTTGGAATCCCCAATGCATTGGTGCCTCAGAGAAGGGATCCACAGTTCTTCACAGGCAGCATCCTACAGCAGGTCACCAAGAGTTAACAAAGATTTTCCTGGACACCGCAGAGATGTGTGATAGAGCCCCCATCCAAAACCAAAACCTATCCAAGGAAAAAATATGCCTCCCTTCTTTAACTCAAAACAATTTACAGAGCACTACCTACCTGCTCCCAGGCTTCCCTGGAGGTTCCGAGGTAAAGAATCCACCTGCCAATGCAGCTGATGTGGGTTTGATCCCTGGGTTGAGAAGATCTCCTGGAGAAGGAAATGGCAACCCACTCCAGCCTTCTTGCCTGGGAGATCCAGAGGAAGTGGACAGAGGAGCCTGGCAAGAGCCGGACACGACTTAGCAACAACTACATGGCTAGGCAGAGGCCTTGCGTCAAGGAGCTGAACAGACAACAGACACGTTAACAGGCAAGACCCCCAGTGGCCAGGGCTGTGAAGCTGCACAGATCAGGGTGAGGGACACAGGGATTTCAGCATCTGTCCATTGGGACAGCCGATGAAACACAGAAATACTGCACTCATGCATTTCTCTGTTTCTGCAAAGAACACTTAGATGGTTCAGGAGAAAACTGGAGGGGATTAGAGAATGACCTATACAGGACCAGCCTTTGCTCATGAACAAATGCTAGAGGTCTGGGATAATTGCAAGGCTGTACACAGGAAAATTTTTATTTGAAGGGATTCAACTTCCATTTTCAGATGAAGTTTTAATTTCTTGTGGTTATTTTTGTGTCTTCAAAGAATAAGCTTTGGCTGAGGAGATTCGCAGTGGGCCAGGGTGGTGGAGTAGAGAGCAGACCCAGAAGCAGGTGTAAGCCTCACCCCCAGGTATCAGAGACAGGGAGTAGGAGAGATGCTGGAAAGATCTGCAAACAAAGCAAAGGAGTCTGGACTGGACTCTGTAGCAGACAGGACTTAGCAAAGGACTGCTCCAGACCACAGTGTCTGGAGGGGTGGCGTCACACGCTGAGCGCGGATAGGAAGAGGTAGGAGGATGCACTCAAGTGAACTCTCGAAACTTCGACAACTATCTTTACGGGAAGTAAATGAACCCATGCCCATGGCATTGCTGAACATAGGCTTGTTTGATCAGATTATCTCCCCATCCTGGGCCTTTTGATTCATCTATAAAATGGGAATAATAATGGTATCCACCTCACACAGGTATGAGTATTAAATAAATTAATACAGCAAAATGGTTGGTACATAGTATGTGCTCAATAAATGTTAGCTTTCATTATCATGTATTTTTTTTCTGGGGGAGGATGAGAGGTGGCAAATAATCCACTGCACTCATATTAAATATAAAAGTATTCTCAGTGGTTCCTGTAAATCCCATCTCAGCCTGAGGGGAAAAAGGATATGTAAATTATTTTAGACCAACATGTAGATACTTTAAAATATCAACTTTATTTAAAAAATCAACAATAAAAACTGCCACACAAACTATCAATAACAGACACTTCTATCAATTCAAGTGTACATTATGTAATTCCTCAAATAAAAGACCTATAATTTCCCTTGAGGCCTTTTAAATTCTGAGGTTATATAAAATCAAGCAGGAAAACATTAACATTAAATGAAAATCAATCTTGCACAAGTAAGTGTGATCAAGCAGCTTAAATTATCACCTGAAATACTTGTACTTCAGAGACAAATCCCAGATGACAACACTGTATGTGCTATAAAGAGATTCACATTATCCCATGGGGTGTGTCTCACGTCACTCGTTCTCTACATTTCTTTCACCAAGGCCTCAGGCAAAAAAAGTGAGGGGAACTTTTTCCCGGTAGACACATTCCTTTTCTTTTTCTGAATTCAGAGTTTCTGAAAGCACAAGAGGCTTTCCTCCTGGTAAAACAGGACTTGTAAGACATTCGAGGGCTAAGCTGTCGTGGTTCTTAAGTTTCTTCCTGTCTTGGGGGAGACCCTGTTGTCTTCACACCATCCGGATCTATTCTGTCCTCCCACTCAGGCTCCCTCCCAGTGCGGAGACACAAGACACTGTGACATCAGCAGAGAGGAGAGTGAGCTCGTACCTCCGCCCAAACCCCAGAGAAGGCCAGCCTCTCCTGAGGTCCATAAACTTCCTCTGAATTCAGAGTTTCGTGTATCAGAATATGTCAACTCACAGCCACAGAAGACTTGAGGAACTAAAAATGTGAAGAAGCACCTAGCAACTGAGAATGAGAGGAGTGTGTGTTTACCGTTACACGCGGGTAACTGCCGGGTTGCTATTTTATAACAGAGCAGGGTTGGCAGCATAACCAAGTCCTGTGCTCAACAAAAGTCTGTAACCCAGCAGGACAGGTGTCCTGGGAGGAACTGTCAGAGCAGGAACATGAGCCAGGTGATGAGACCAGACGGTAACTGCTCTGGTGCTGGCATCAGGGCAGGCCAACAGCAACCTGAATCCCTGTGTGAAGCAGACTTAATCTATTACTTTTCAGAACCTTCTGATCACCAAACTGAGCCAGTGGAATGACCATAGTATTTCAATGGGAAAACTACACATTCAGAAAATATTATACTGTCATCAATTCACGCTTCCTGGGCACTCATAAATAGGACACACCCCGTCATAAGCTACCAGGACCATTCGCTCTGACAATGAGAAGGTGCAGAGTGAGGCGCGCCCTTCCTCCCAGTGGGCAGCTCTCTGGGCCTGGAGGGACGCAGAGGACAAAGCTTTCCTGTGGCTAAAACCAAGCGGGGGGGGTGCCGCCCCTCAGCCACTGTGACACGAGGGGCCCCGCCTTGGAGAGCCGTCACGTAGCAGGTTCCAAGAATTCTGAGGTGAACACGGCTTCTGCGTAATCTTCACACATGTCCTGCAGTTCAGCAGCCACAGCCCCCAGGGCTTCGTCGACCAGCTCTTCTGAGAAGCTGGAAGACAAACAACATGGCTAAAGGCACAGACAGCCAAGTATAGGAGCCGTTCTGTTACTCAGCTGAGGGACTTACCAAGTCACTTCTAAGATTTACATGGAAATTCAAAAGGCTAAGAATAGCTAAAGTATTTTTGAAGAAGAAAAATAAGGTGAGAGGTCTTGCTTCCGTAGACAGTAAGAAGGTGGTGCTTAGACTCCAAAGTCAGGCTTGATGCAGGGGCCTGTAACACCTACTGGATGGACCTCACCCTCGAGATGGCTGAAGCCAGAGGCGGCCGGACACTAACTGGCTGCGGCTCAGCCCACTTCCCACGGCCTACCAACTGCCTGACAGAAGAAAGGATGGGGGCCTTCTCCATGGGGCAGGGGCAGGAAGCTGCAAGCTTCTCTACACACACGCGTGCACGCGCATACACACACACACACACACACACACACGCGCGGTACTTCTGGAAACATCTCCTAAAAACAAGAACATTCTCTTAAATAAGCCAGATACAATTATAAAAATCTTAACATTAACATTCACATAATACTATTATCTTGGAGAAGGAAATAGCAACCCACTCCAGTGTTCTTGCCTGGAGAATCGCATAGACAGAAGAGCCTGGCGGGCTACTGTTGATGGGTCACAGAGTCGGACACGACTAAGTGACTAAGCACAAGCACAATGCTATTATCCAACCTTACCTCCAGACCTTTTCAATTTCTTTGCCAACTGTCCAAAAGATGTCCTTTGAAAGAAAAGATTCTGTAGACGGTCCAGGATTCAACGGAGGATCACATGTGCAGTCAACGGTCAGTCACATGTCTTTAGTTTCATCTAGAATTGTTTTTCAGTCTTCGTCTTTTATGATCTTAATATTTTTTGAAGAGTAGAAGCTTTGTTTTTAAGAATGTCTCTCAGTGTGGATTTGTCTGACGCTTCCTCATGGTCAGGTTCACGTTCTATGTTTTGGGAACAAATGCCCAGAAGGGATGTTGTGTCCCTTCAGTGCATTATTTGTCTTATAACCATAAGGGCTGGTTTTTGTCACTTGGTCATGCTGATGTCTGCCAAGTTTCTACACTGTAGTTACTACCTCCCCTTTATAATTAATACGTATGTTGGAGGGAGATACTTTGAGACTATGTAAATATTCTGCTTCTCATCAAACTTGCAGAATCAATTATTACAAGGTTGACAACACTGATTTTCTAATTTCATCATTCCTTCTCTGTTCAATAGTTGGCATGCTACTATATAGAAGAGCTTTCCCTTCTCTATTACTTATTTATGAATTTATGTATCCATTCATTCATTCGTATCAGCTTGGTCTTATGGATTCGTATTATATTCAACAGCTTGTAATCTGTTTCTATCATTACTTATTTTGATATTCAGTGTCCCCCTGAATGGCCTGCAGGAGCCCCTTCAAGTCAGCTCCCACATCCTCTTGACATGCCCCCATCATTCTTTGAACACTTCCATTCTGACACAAAATGAAGTTTCAGGTTCATTTTACATTTCCCCAGCCCCAGTCTTGGAACTGGCCAGTTCTCCAAAGAGCCCCGGCACCTTTTCATGGAGAAGAGTGTTTCAGAAACCGAAACCCGGGCGCCAAGCACGCTCGTTGCTCCTAAGTGTGTCCCTGCTTCCGGGTCCTCTCAGCGGACAGGCTCAGACAGACAGGTGCAGACGCACCACCCGTGTCTATTTCTGTATCCATCAAAAGCCGTAAGTCATAATACCTTCACTCTCACTTCAAAACAGAGGATTCATTCTGGCCTTTCCCCTGAAAACTGGCTCTCATTATTCACAATATACTTATTCAATCAGTACTAAAATACAGAGAAGGTAGTTTTAGAAATGCTAACCCATGCTACTGGGTAAAAGAAACCTACTAACATGTGTTTACAGTCTTTGTCTTTAGCCAGAGGGTACAGAGTCAAAATACTACATTCAAAAGTGACTCAGACAAGTTCTTATCTGTATATATCCCATTAGTGTGGCTATTTCTTGCATATACAGTCAGTTTCTTTCTGTATTCCAATTTATGGTTGCTCAACATCCTCCAAACCTTGTTGATTTGGAGGGTTGTATATAAAACATTAACAGTTCCAAAAGTCAGAAGTATACAAAAGAGGAAATAAAGCTAAGTGTCCCTCCCCTTTTCCTATCCCGTCTACCCCATTCCTATCCCAGCTGTTTTGTGGTTTTGTTTTTTTTTGGAGGGGGGGCAGCAGCTAATCTGACCATCTTTAGTCTTTTAATGGGTGTGTAAAGTGCTTTTTCATTAATGGAATTCTGATACAGTTGACCTTCTACTACTAAAATACTAAGTATTTTCTTTATGTCTATTTGTTCTTTCTTAACGTTTTTTAGGATTCTGTGATTGTTTCAATTTTTCACTTTTAATTGGGGTGTTATGCAGTATTTTACTATTCTTTTAGTGGCCACTCTAGATTACAATAAGCATTCTTGACTTAAAGTCTAACATTAATTGATATTCTTACCAGCTTCCCAGACAATGGAAGAACCTTCGGACACTAACTCTATTTATCCTCTTCCCAATTTCTATGCTACTGTTATTATGTACTTCAGTATGTATTCATACAACCCCATAAGACATCAGTTTATTGTTTTATACAGTCAATATTCACTTGTCTACATATTGACTTTTTCTTAATTCATGCCTTCTTGCATTTCTGACTTTTCATCTGTATGACTGTTTTTGCTCTGCCTGAAAAATACCCTTTCACTATTTCCTATGGTGACAGTCCACCGGTAATAAATTTTTGCAGCTTTGTTTAGAACCTTTCCTGCCTTCCTTCTTGAAGTACATTTCACTGGGTTTATGTACAGACTGGCAGTTTTCTCTTTTGGAACTTTACACCAGGGCATCCAGCCTCCACTGTTTCTGTTTGTCCATTTTCCTTCCTCTGGCTGATTTTTAAGATTTTTTTTCTCTTGGTCTTTCATTTTCCAACAATACTGAGATATATGCTACATATGAATTTCTTTTGTTTTTCTTGCTTGGGACTTTTAGAGCTTCTTGAATCTGTGGCTTGATGTCTAGTGTTACTTTGGGGAAGTTATCAGACATGATCTCTTTGGATGTCATTCTGACCCATTCCCTCTCCTTCCTCTCCTGCGACCCCAGCCACATGTGTATTAGACCGTGACCCTTATCCTCCATGCCCCTCATCCTCTCTTCATTTTCATCTTTTTGTGTGTCTCCATGTATCACTCACGGGTTCCCAGGTGGCACTAGTGGTAAAGAACCCACCTGCAAATGCAGGAGGCATGAGAGACCCAGGTTTGATCCCTGGGTCAGGAAGATACCCTGGAGAAGGAAATGCAACCCACTCCAGTTTTCTTGCCTGGAGAATCCCATGGACAGAGGATTATAGTCCATATATTATATTATAGTCCAGGATTATAGTCCTGGGGGGCTATGGTCCATAGGGTTGCAAAGAGTCGGACATGACTGAGGCAACTTAGCACAGCACATGCTTCACTCTAGATATTTTCTTCTATTCTATGTCCAAGTCTCTGACTTTTTTCTCCCCCTACCCCCAAACAAGATATTTTATGTCACCACTAAAGTCTGAATTTTAAGCAGATTCATGGACTGGTGGCTCGTATCCATCAGTTCGTTCAACTTTAGCACCTGTCTCTTCCCCAGTAGCTTTCTCAGAATGACTACCTCCACAGGCAGCTCCAAGAGTTTTCCCCATTCAAACTTAGGCCTCTTCAGCATTTTTACTTTTCTAACAATAATGTCATGGAGCTGATAAATAGATTGGCAAGCTTTTCTGCCTTTTCCAATGCTGTCTGGAATCAATTTACTGACCACCTCTTTCGTGTCACCGGCTCTCGGGTCATGATTTCCACCATCCTGTGGATTTGGTGAACCTGATGGTGCTGGGCATAAGAGTTCTTCCCAATCTTTTTGTTGCCTTTTTTTAGTAAAACCCACACAGAACAGATGAAGCAAATAACTGTTGGTAGTCTTGACATCAACGCGAGCTTTAATCATGGTCTGCCATTTTTTGACCATGGAGCACATTTTGTCAGATCATATCATGGAAATTAATCAGGCAGCTTTTGCCCTGAGCATCCACAGTAATTAAGCTTGAATTTTCTAAATGCAACTGTATCAGTCACAGATCAGCAAGGCTCACTTCAAAAACACGACCCTTGAGGCCATCATATGTGATGTGGGTTGAGCTCTTGTGACTAGTGTTTTCCTAATATTTCTTATATTGAACATAGTTGGTTCATACATCATACCAATGTTTCTTAGAAAATGGGTCAACCACTTTCTTCTTGGCTCCCTTTTCACCTCCTTTCATAAGATGCTTACTCATGCTAACCACCATGGTGCTACTCAGAGAGCCAAAAGGCTCTAATTTTTTCTTTTGATGTGTCTAATTTGTTATTAAGCCCATTTGATGAGTTGCTCATCCCACGAATGGAGGAACATGGTAGGCTACAGTTCATGGGGTCGCAGGGTCAGACACGACTGAGCAACTTCACTTTCATTTTTCACTTTCATTTCAGAAATTGTATTTTTCAGTTCTTGAATGTCCACATGGATTTGGTTTTACTCCCAGGTCTCTGCCAAAATTCTATCTCTACGTACATAGTATGCACAGTTATTTTAATATCTGTCTGAAGGCTCTAGTATGTGGAGCCACCGTGGGTCTGTTCTTGTTATTGTCATGTCTCTCTGCTACCAGGCTTTTTTACCAAATATCAGACACTAAGTTTGAAAACTGCAGGAATAATTTAAATCCTAAGATGATGTTATAAATCTTCAGAGGAAAGTTAAGTTTGCCTCTGCTCGGTGGCCGTGAGGCAACAATGTAGAATCACTTCAGTGCGGTCTCAGGAAGTGAGATGAAGTGGAGCTGAGTGGAGTGCTGGTAGGGCCTGCTGGCATCCAGGTCACCCTTATTCCAGAGTGCCACCCTTCAGGGTCCCATCAGAAGTGAGCAAAGTTCGTCAGGTCAGCCCTTGGCAAGCCCTTAATTCCCACCTCTATCCTTTGATCTGAAAAGACCACAGAACATGCCATTCACCTTCCCCCAGAACCAAAAATCCAGGGTCAGACAAGGGCTAACTTCCCTGGGTCTCTGTCTTTTCCAGGATCCTGGCCCAGTTATTCCTTATTACCTAGTTAACTTCCTGGTGCCTTCAAGCATGTATGTTTTATTTTGGATCTAGCTTTTCTATTAATAGTGATCCTCAGTGAGAGGGGTGGGCCAAATTACCAACTGTGACCTTACTAGAAGCAAAAGTGATTACTTGTGCATTTTTTTGTTTTGTTTTTATGCTTGCCTTGCTTTGCTTTCTATATTCCTATCACTAATTCATCCCCAAACTATGAGAGAAACACAAATACATTCAATGTGTGCTCCTGATACAAGCTCCCAAGCACATTAAGTAATGTATCTGTTTTCTTCTTTTTCAACCTTTCTCACCCTGCCTTCCCTGTCTGGAAACTATTCCTCCTAGAGCCATCTGTCCTCCTATTCTAGACTAGTTGTTTTCTATGCTCACTGAAAAATCCTCTTGGAGGGACTTCCTTGGTGGTCTAGGTTAAGACTCTGCACCTCCTCTGTAGGGGGCCCAGGTTTGATCCCTGGGTGAGGAACTAAAGATTTAACATGCTGCGTGGTGCATGAAAATTTAAATTAAAAAAAAAATAATTAAAAAAAAAATTTTTTTTTTTTAAATTCTCTTGAAAATAGCTTTTGCCGTTTTCCTGGAAGTTCCATGTTAGAGTCCCCAAATTTCCTAAATCCTGTCTTCCTCGTTCTCATGCTGATGGTAAACACCCTCTGTAAGCTTACTGAGAAACTACATTTTTTGACACTTTGCATACCTTAAACTGTCTTTATTCTATCCTTTTATTTGATAATTTAGCTGGGCACAGAATTCCAGGGTAAACTTTGGAAGCATGCTCTTATATCCTGTAGCAGGGCTGCTACTGACAACACAACCTTCTCATTTCTGATTATTTGAATGTGCCCGGTTCTAACTCTGGAGCCTTGCATCATCTTCTCCTTACACGAGGATGCTCGCATTTCCTGTGCACAACATGTTGTGATGTGTTCAGTTTCATTTATTCATGCACTTACTCACCCACTCACTCACAGTGGACAGCTGGTGAACCCTTTCAATCTAGAGACTAATGACCTTCTGGAGATTCTTCTTATAGTATTTCCTCAATAATTTTCCATTCCTCCTTTTCCCCTCTTCTCACATTCTATAAATCCTGTTATTCCAATGTTTTCTCTGTTATACTAGCCTCTGTAGCTTTCATGGTTTCCAGCAAGTTTTGGGATCTCTTGGTGATTTGTTCTACTCAAGAATGAGAATTTCAACTAAGCCTCCTATGTCCTGACTCCCTTGCACCCATGCATCCCCAGTGTTTCTCCTTCCTGAGTCTTACCAAGATTCTTCTGCACAAATCAGCTTGGTTCTTGGCTCCACCCTCATCAGGTTCTTGGCTCTCTCTGGTCTGGTAAGTCATTGCCCATTTGTCTAACTGCTTCATGGCTTCCAAAATTTTCCTGCTGGTTCTTATTTGCTGTCATTTATGGTTTCACGCCTTTTATTCAGTCTTTCAGTGACACACAGTGGGATAGGACTACAGGGACTGAGATAAATCATATGTTCAGTCTTTTCTTTTCAACCAGAAGTCTCCTGATTTGTTTTTCCAACTAGGAATCCTTAAGAGTTTGCTTTCATTAAAAGCATCATCACTTTAAACCTTTCCTTTCAGAATGATGCTTTTATTTACATCCAGTTTATATTATCTGCCCCTTCTGATCACTGGAATAGTGCTTTTCTCCAGGTGAAGGGAGGCATGGAGACAGTAAAATAGAGGGAAAACTCAGCTGATTTCTCCCTCACCCAAGAGGATATCAGACGAAGCCAACTGTCCTTGGATATTTCTTAAAGATTAGATCAATACACTTCTCATCTTTGGAACACCCAAATAAGAAACAAGAGAGATCAAAAACAGAGCTAGAATATTTAGACGTGCTGTCACTTGAGGGTCAAGGACAAGAAAGGGGAACATCTGTGAAATTAAGGGATATTTTAACAACTCTAACCTCTGTATCTTACCCTATGTGTCCTCACAGGGGGAGAGAGCTTCCCCCTACATCTACAAAACAACTGTAACAAAATGTATCATTAATCAAGTGGTAAGAACATAATACAGGGAACAGTTTACCTTCTTTAGCTTATTTTAGATTTCCCAAGATACCAGTTAGCCTAGTCAATCCAAAGAGGCTCTGTGCAAACCAGTGGGCATGCTACAGGGCTGCAGGTTGATGCATGGAAGCAAGTCAAGTTTACTCTACTCTCCTCCCCAGAAAATACACGCGGTATCTCAACCAGAACAAAGGATCTCATATGCTCCAAAGGGAACGTATATTATGAGAAGTCCTAGGACTTCAGGTTTGACTTAAGGGAGTGGACATGTGATTATCTCTGATCCCACCCAAATCCCCACCAAAATAAAAGGAGATAAATGAAAACATGACACTAACATGGAGAAAAAGACAAAAGTAGATGAGACATGTAATCAAAACGACTCAGCAGTTCAGAGGAAATACAGAGGAAGCAGAAACCTCAGGGTGCACAGAGGAAGACACCAAGGAAAAGCAAGCTGATCTGTCTCACAGAACATCAGAAAGACTTGAAGTAAGAGAACCAGGAACCAGGAACGTGGAAAGTATTGGGTAGGAGATGAGAACGCAGATTAAGACTCTGCAGGATGAGCTGGTAGGCTGATGGGTCTCTACCCCTGCTCATGGCAGCTACGTGACAATCCCTCCTTCACCCCCACAAAAGAAGGGAGCCATATTCTTCGGGAAAAATAAACCAGGAATTTAAAACTCAACCAAATCATCAGTCAAGTATGAATATAAGACACTTTCACACACGTAAGTCTCAGGAACTGTCCTGTGATACACAGGAGGGATAGGCTCCCTCAGAGCAAGGGAGTAAACCAGGAAGGAGGAAGACGCGTGGCAACAGAACACAAGGACCCTAACACGGGAGGGAGACTCTCATGCTCAGCGGTGATGAAGACACGTCCCAGGACAAGAGCTGCACCGCAGACCTACAAAGTGGTTGGGCCAGGCTGGGGTAGAAGGAAAGAGTGTCTCAGGAGAAAGAGTAGGGGTGGAGGTGAGATTAACCAACACATCGAATCATGAGGAAAATTATGTTGAGAGGTGTTGGCTAGAATGTGAAGAACTTGAATAATATATTAAAAAAATAAGCAACTTAAAAGGAGGCAATTATTAACTCCTGGAACATGTTTGAAACCTGTTCAAGAAAGATGTCATAACAGTATATTCCAGGTTTACTGATAAAAATTATCTGCACATATGTAATAAAATGATACTCTTAAGGAATTTAAATTTGAGCACTATTTCTAAAGAATGAATCTGCACACATCTTTCAATTGAATATTTACAAGAAAGAAGGCTACCCATTCTTCAAATATCTAGCAGCAGTGGGACTGTTTTCTGACTCCACAGAACTCCCCTTCTCAGGGGAGGCGACAGCCAGAAGGAGAAGGTTAGGTGTAGTGAAGTCTATAGACCCGCTGTCGTAGTGCAAGTCTGACCTGACCATGAAGATGTCAAGATCGCAACTGCTTCCTGCCCAGCCATAATTCATGTTCTCTGATGACGATGACCTCACAACACCAACAGGAAGCCTGCCCTGAATGAAGTTTCTACTCTTGGCGGAAGGCAGCGGCATGCTCCTCGGGATGGCATCAGCCATGCTGTTCTCCCATGTCCTCTCCCTGAAGAAAGGCACTTGGCAGAGAAAACCTGTTCCCCAGCCCCGGAGCAGCCACTGGAACTCCAGGGCCCCAAAGCTCGGCCTGAGGCCTTGGCCAGGCCTTTCTGCAGTCAAGTTAACACATGGCACCCTGTTCCTCAACAGAGCACAAGCCCTCCTACTGACCTTTCAGCTATGAGCCATGGGTTGAAGGAGCCCACGGCTTCGTGCGCGATCACCTGCAGGTAGTGCTCGAAATGGCGGCAGTAGTCACCGATGCTATGTCGCATGGCTGGAGGGACAAAGAGGGCAGCTCGGCCTTCTGTCTGTTGAGCATCTTCTGAAAGGGAGAGAAGGGGAGCTTCTCTTTTCTCTGGTCTCTCCTCTGTTCCCACACTTTCATCCAGGGAACTGAGAGCAAATAAAAATGATGAAAGCATTCAAAATCATCTGCAAGTGAGAGTAAACCGTTAATGCATCCTGATGGTTGGACAACCAAAGGCTGACCTTTATTTCCCTTCCTCACGCTGCACCAAACCCAACATCACCACTCACTGTTTCTCCTTTACATGAAGCAACCATCCTCATGGGAGGAACATCTGGACAAAAGAATTCTTAAAGCAAATCTTGCAGTAATGACCTGCAAAAGTCACCTGTGCCACTGTGATGCTTTCAATCATAAAAATCAGCTGTTACTAAAGGCTCCTTAAGATGCAACACACTCAGTGCCCATCTTATAAACACACTGTTTTACTGGGCCATCTTGGAGTTTGGCAAGATCTCGGTCAAGAGAAGAATCTCTCTCTGTCTGTTGTTATCGAAGGAATGCAAAATCTAACAAGGTCAAAGGTAACCAACTACAAATGAAATCAGGTAAGCTCGTTACCACTTACGCGCCATTGCAGGGCCCTTCTAACACGATGTTCACATCTGGGTCTTTTCGAGCTGTTGTCTTTGTGATCCTGATTGGATGAGGAGAAAGAGGCCTTTCACTTACTGCTGGAAATTTTTGGTCTAGAAAAGGAGAGGCATAAAATGACTGTATGTAAAGAAATGCTGGAGTAGACATCAGAGTTGTCCTGGTGGCCAGTAACCTGTGAGGACGTTCAGAGGCACGTCTCTTAAGCATAAGGGTTGAGCTGGCAGTGCAAAAGGCAGACAATGCCTTTGTTCTACCTGAAAAGGTGAATTTAAAAGTTACCAAGAAACAAAGCAATGAAGAGCTAGTTTTAAGAAATAAGGAACTTGTTTCAAAGCTTCTGTCAGCTCTGAGGTAGACTCCTTGAAGAGGCCTGTGCAAAGCCAGGTTCCATTAGGATCCACCCTCCATTCAAGGAGTCTTGAGCAGTTGGGTTTGTTTTTAACCTTTACATTATCTGATTACTGGAGAAGGGGAAAAAAAAACACACCTGAACACTTGATTAGCTGACAATTTGTCTCTGAACTTCGCTGGGAAAATCTGCATGATGATAGTCAAAACATTAACTTATTAACTATACATTGAGGCAGGCTTGACAGTTCTTTGGAGTTTTGGATTATTTATCACTTTAAACGCATTTCAGATGTAAAAAGAAAATTGCCTTCCTCTTAGGTAAGTCAAACACCTTTCTCTGACTCATGTATTTCTTTGTTTATGATTTTTTACGCACAGGAATACTGTATAGGTCCTTCCCTGGTGATCCAGAGGTTAAGAAAATCCAGAGGTTAAGACTCCACACTTTCAATGCAGGGGGTGTGGGTTCGATCCCTGGTTGGGAAACTAAGATCCCACATGCCATGCAATAGCGGCCAAAAATTTTTTTTTAATTTTCAAAAATTCAAAAAAAAATATTAATAAAAAGAAATACTGCATAAGTCAGTTTTTATAAAAATATTACTGAAAGTACAATTTTCAACTGACTTCAGAAAAGAAAGAATAAGAGATACAGATTTGACACTGCACAATTCAGAAATCACTTTAAATTTGTTTTTTGTGATGCGACTAAACATACAATCAGAATAATTAGAGACAGAGGGTTCTTACGAGGATTTCATGATTCTGGATTTAAAGTAGCCACAAATTCGTTTCAGTTCTTGGTGTTCTACAAAGCTCCTTTGAAATGCATACCTAGACTCCAGCAGAGTCAGAGATAGTGACTAATAATTTAAATTGTCCTTGAAAAAGAGAACACTGAGTCCTTGGTAAGGCTATCTTCTGCTTGATGCAACCTGACTGTGGCCAATGGCCAAGCCAACAGCGAAGCAGCTGCCCTTCAGCACTCCCCTTTCCTCTGCTTCCAAACAGAAAGATGCCCACTGATTCACTAGGCAGTGATGAGAAGGCTCCTCCCTGGGTCATGCCCCTGCTGGGTGCAGCTGGGATACTACTTAATATGATAAACCTCTCTGGCTTATCTGGGTGACATAAAGACCCTCCACAAACATCTCTAACAGGGCAGGACACAGCAGAAGTCTATGGCAGTTCACAGGAAGGAGCGAACATGAGGTGGGCCTGGAAGAATGGTTCACTTGTCATGTGAGGACGGACACGGAAGCTGGAGTAGGGCTAGGGGAGAAAGAGAGAATGAGAGGAACAAAGAAGAGAGCTTGAAAAATTACCAGAACTGGGGCTTCCCTGGTGGCTCAGTGGTAAAGAATCCGCCTGCCAATGTAGGAGACACAGGTTCGATCCCCGATCCAGGAAGACTCCACATGCCGCGGAGCAACTAAGCCGGTACGCCACAACTACTTAGCCTGCGCTCTAGAGTCCGAGAACCTCGACCACTGAGCACAGGCTGCAACTACTGAAGCCGGCATGCCCCAGAGCCCTGTGCTTTGCATCTAGAGAAGTCACCACGATGGGAGAAGCTTGCCCACAACCAGAGAGTAGCCCCTGCTTGCCACCCGCGCAGCATCGAAGACCAAGCACAGCCACAAATAAATAAAACTAAAAAGTGGTACACTTTAAAAACAATTACGCAAACTGAAAGGAATGAATCTCTGTTGTGTTTAGATGGCTCATTTTTCAGTCAAAATGTGACACAGGGAATACTTTCCCTAAGACAATACCCCAAACTCGTACTCTTTTAAAAAGTATATGTACATATGCTGCTATTATAAATCTTCTATACCCACAACTTCCTTTCCTGCTCTTAATACTCACAGTACCAAAAATCCTTCAGAGGTAATGTTTAACCACATTTTATTTTCCTTCTTTCGTTGAGTAAAGTAGTAACTGATAAGCATGAGTCAAAGAGAACTTGAGTAACACTCCCCAGCCCCAACTGCGACACTGGCCTAGCAACTGCAGCCAAAATGCATATGTATGAATTTTTAAAAGTGGAAGAGAAACTGAAAGTCTTTTCAACAAATGGTGTAAGAACAAATGGATATCCATTAGCAGGAGGAAAAAATAAACCTCAACCTCTACCTTAAACCAGAGGCAAGTTTTATTCAAGATGGATCACAGACCTACACATACAAGCTAAAAGCATAAAGCTTCTAGAAGAAAACAAGAGCTTCTCTTCTCAACTTGGGAATAGGCAAAGGTTTATGAGATCAAAGAAAGCAAAAACTATACAAGAAAAATTGGATAGATTAGACTTTATCAAAATTTAAAATATTTCCTTGTAACAAAACACATTTGAGAAAACACATACGTGAGCTACAGATGGGGGAAAACATTTGCAAACATTCACCCAAGTATATTAGTGGCTACTGGGAAGAGGTGGGGGAGAAGAAGTGATTGCTAATGGAAGCTGGGATTCTTGTTAGGGTGATGAAAATGTTCTGGAATTAGACAGCAATGACATTTGCAACATTTTGTAAATACACTAAAAACAACTCAACTTTAAAAGGATGAATTTTATGGTATGTGAATTATATCTCAACAGAGCTGTTTTGAAAATAGTATATATATGACAAAGAATTCACACCCAAATGCATGAAGAATTCCTATAATTCACACATAAAAAGACAATCCAATTTTTTTTACTGTTAAAAAAGACTTGGACACTTCATAAAGAAAAATAGACAAATGACTAATAATTACCTGAAAATGTTCTAAACATCATTATTTACCAAAGAAATGACACTAAAGCCACAAAGAGATATTGCTACAGGCCCACCAGAAAGGTTATAATGAAAAAGACTTTGACAATTCAAATGTTGGCAAGGATCTCTAGCAATATGAACTCAATGCAGGGAGTGTAAAATGGCACAGTCACTTTGGGGAAATGTTTGACAGTTTTTTATAATGTTAGACATGTGCCTAGCCCATAATCTGGCAAATCTACTCAGGTTTTTATCCAAGAGAAATGAAAACCTATGTCCATAAAAAGATTACACATGAATACACTCAGCAAATTTCTAATAGACCCAAATTTAAAAAAATCAAATGCAGATCTCCAGGCAAATAGCTCAACGAGATGTGTTACCTGTGTACAATGGAATACTACTCAGCAATAAAAGGGAATGGACACTGGTACAGTGTGGCAGGCTGAACAATGGCTCCCCAAGATGTCCAGATTCTGACCCCTGAAACCTGTGAATGTCTCTTTTATAACAGGAGGGACTTTAAGGATCTTGAGATGGGGAAATAACCTGGATCACTGGGATGGGCCCTAAAGGTAATCAACAAGTCATTATAACAGGCAAGCAGAGGAAGATGTGACTCAGGGGAGGAGAAGGCAATGTGAAGGCAGAAGCAGTCTGGAGTAATAAAGTCACAAGCCAAGGAACGCGGGCAGCCTTAGAAGCTGGAAGAAGGAAGAAGCCCTGCCAATCCCTTGCTTTTAGCCCTTTGAGACATTCAGACTTCGGACCTCCAGGAATTCACTTGAGAATAAATCTGTGAGAGAATAAATCTGTTTTAAACCACTACATTTATGCTATAACTTGTTACTAACTTAAGCTTGTTACCTTAGCAATAGGAAACGAGTAATAGATAAATTATAAGACATCATGCTAAATGAAAGACAAAAGGTTAAATACATGTATGATTCCACTTATATGAAATTCCAGACTAGGCAAAATTAATCTAAAGTTAAAAAAAAAGCACAGTGGTTGGCTGGGTAGGGGGGCACTGACTGGGAAGGAGCAGAGGCTGATGGAAGGAGTGTGGGTAGAAAGATGCACCCATTTGTCAAAACTCATCAAATAATACAGTTAAGATTTGTGTATTTCATTAGATGTAAATTTTATCTCAAAAGGAAAAAGAACCCTAAGTAAATATGAAGCTCTAGTTGCTGATACACAGGCTGAAATGCTTCGGTTAAGATGTACTGATGTCTGCAACTTACTCTAAAATGCATCCAAAAATAACATGAATTGATGGGTGCTCATGTGTGCTCAGTCACCTCCGACTCTGCGACCCCATGGACTATAGCCCGCCTGGCTCCTCTGTCAATGGGATTTCCCAGGGAAGAATACTGAATGGGTTCCATGCCCTCCTCCAAGGGGATCTTCCCAACCCAGGGATCAAACCTACGTCTCATGTCTTCTGCATTGGCAGGCGGATTCTTTACCACTGGGAAGCCTGAGAGGCTGAGGAGATAAATGATAAAGCAAATAGAGCAAGATTTTAATTGTAGAATCTAGAAGATGTATATATGAGTATCCACTGTACAATTTTTTTCAACTTTTCTGTACGCGTGAAATTTTTCAGAGTACAATGTAGAGGGAAAAAGTGGGGGAACACTCACCATTTTTTTCTTCTTGCATCCAAAAATGAGGATCGGTATATACAATTTTATTATATCTTTGGCGAACTGTCTCCTGGTATTTCTTTGAAAAAAAAAAAAAAAAAGATTAATCTGTGAGGAAAAAAATTAGTTTCATTACAAACCAGAGACTAGTAAGGTTATAACAGTCCAGCAGACATTTGATACAGACACATCGCCAGAAAACAGGCACCTCCCAGGCCACTGGTTAGCTCATGAGGGGAAGTGTAAAATAAAATGAGGCAATTAACCTATGCTAATTAATCTAATCTGGACCAGCACTGCCCACTAGAATCTGAATTGATGATGGAAATGTTCTATTTTTGTCCTGTCCAATGTACTAGCCACTAACTATTGACCACTGGAAATGCAGTAATGTATTTAATTTTAACTGGTTTACATTAAATGGCCACGTGTGTAAATGGCCACATATGTAAACAGCCGTGTATGTGGCTACAGACTACCATTTAGGACACTTCAGGTCTAGACAGTTACCCCCAAGAAGGGGAAATCAGTTACAAGACTAGGATAAACTACACACTTTTAAATTGTCAAAAACCAACAAAATGTTGTCTTGCCTATAATGTTTTTAGTTTAGCAGCAAAGCCAAAATGAGATTTCATCAAGGTGGAGTTAAAATGAAAATTCTGAGCTAGGAGTCAGTGACCTGGATTCTCAGCCCAACTCTGGTGGGAATTTTTGAGTGGCCTTGGCCATGTCACTCACTGCCTTACTGTGTCTCAATTTCCTCCTCAGAACCATCCAGGGGTTGGCTTGCATAATGTCTGAGGTCTAGAATTCTCTGAGAAGAGCATTCTAAAGTAGCGTCATGGGAATTAAGAAAGGTAAAGTTATCTGAGGTTTGCCAGGATCCAATGGGAGGAGAGCAGAACAGGCAATTGGGCAGCATTTACAAGCTGAGGGGTGAAGAAGTTGTTGGTCCCATTTGTAGGACTGGACTCTGGCCCAGCGTTTTTGGTATCACATATCAATGATGAGCTACGGGTCAGGTAGTATACAGACACTTCGTACCTATTGTGTCCTTAAAAACACCCTCACTTAATTAAAAAAGACACATGTACTCCAGGGTTCATTGTAGCACTATTTACAATAGCCAGGACATGGAAGCAACCTAGATGCCCATCGACAGATGAATGGATAAAGAAATTGTGGTGTTTATAAATATATATATATAAATATATATATATAGTGTGTGTGTATATATAAATATATATATATATATATACACACACACAATGGAATATCACTCAGCCATAAAAAGGAATGAATTTAAGTCAGTTCTAGTGAGGGGGATGAACCTAAAGCCTGTTATACAGAGTGAAGTAAGTCAGAAAGAGAAAAACAAATACCATATATTAACACATTTATATATATATAGGGAATCTAGAAAAATGGTGCTGACAGGAACGGACACGGGGGTAAGGAGAGGGTGGGACGACTTGAGAGAGCAGTACTGACATCTATGCCCTACCAAGTATAAAACAGACAGCGAGTGGGAAGCTGCTGTATAACACAGGGAGCTCAACCCAGTGCTCTGTGATGACCTAAAGGGGTGGGATGGGGTGGGGGTGGCAGGGAGGTTCAAGAGGGAGGAGACATATGTATACTTATGATTCACTTTGTTGTATGGCAGAAACCAACACAACACTGTAAACCAATTATCCTCCAATTAAAAAATAAATTTAAAAAAGAACAAAAATCCCCCTCTTATCAGAAAGTATGTGACTTTACGAAGGCTGCACATTTGGCTGACAGTCGAGCTGGGATTTAAACTGAGGACCAGGTAACTTTGATGTTTTAAGCTACAGAATCATGAGGAGGAGCTGTGCTCGACAGAAGCCAGCCTGCAGCAGCTAACCAGAGCTGGCTCCTGCAACCTACTTCCATTTCCTCCATTCGGAGCATCATGATCTCCAGGTTCGGGCTGTCCTTGCCGTCCCCCAAGGTGGCTAAGGCATCAGACTCCCAGATCTTAGAGTGAGTCATGGGCCAATGCTCGTGAGTGGTATCTTCCAAAAAACCATCCAGCTGATGAATGTTACTGGATTCACCATCAACAGCTGTAGCCTGTGAAACAAGCGAAGGGGATGGAAAGGCAATACGAAAATAGCATGAGACTTAAATATGAACCCTGATCACACAAACCCACCGTGTGATGATACAACAGGCAGTTTCTACACTAAATCTAGCCTCTCCTAAGTCAGTAAACATTGACAGCAGGACATCAGAACAGTCAAGATAGTTTCTACCACAGTCATTTCAATAGTTGCATTAATCGAGTAACACCATTAATGTCCATGAAAATTATTGTTACTACCTGTTTTGCCAGCTGGTAAAGCAAGTATCTGCTTTGTGCTAGACTCAGAAGAATGTCCAATACTGCACATGTCATGGGGCTTCCCTGGTAGCTCAGTTGGTAAAGAATCCACCTGCAATGCAGGAGATCCTGGTTCAATTCCTGGGTCAGGAAGCTCTCCTAGAAGGGCACAGCAACCCACTCCAGTATTTTTGCCTGGAGAATCCCCATGGACACAGGAGCCTGGAGGGCTACAGTCCATGGGGTTGCAAAGAGTCGGACACAACTGAATGACTAAGCATACAGCACATGTCATATTCTCCAGAGGACACACCCACACTATTCTCTTTCACTTCAGTGCTTTGTAAAAGCATCTGTTCACAACATCACAGGTGATGATTCTTGTTTCTGTTTGAGACTTTCTACCATTAACCTGAGGGCTTCCCTGGTTGCTCAGACAGTAAAGAATCCGCCTGCAATGCGGGAGGCCTGGGTTCAATCCCTGGGTTGGGAAGAGCCCCTGGAGGAGGGCATGGCAACCCACTCCAGTATTCTTGCTTGGAGAATCCTCACGAACAGAGAAGCCTGGTGGGCTACAGTCCATGGGGTTGCAAAGAGTCGGACACAACTGAGTGACTAAGCATAGCACAGCACCCCTAACCTGGAAGACGTTCACCAGCCTTTCTTGACTTTGTATCCTTTACATTCAAAAAGCACTTTACAGCTTGCAAAGCATTTTTATATGTGTTGTATTTCTGTTGATTCTAATATGTGTCTATAATCTGCTCTGAAAGAGGCTTTTTAACAAAGAATGTCTGCTGGGGAAATGATCATATCAGGCTCTGGAAGGAGACATTTCTGGGACCCAAACCTGGTTCTGCCACTGATATGCCTCAAAGTGGGGGCAAGTATACTTAACCTCTCTAGGCCTCAATCCTCTGGTTTATAATATGGAAATAATGACCCTACTTTTCAGAGTTACAAGGATTATATGAGCACTTGTACACTGGAACACTTTAAAAATAGTGATTGGCATGAGGAACAATTACCGCCATAGTAATTTTTAAAACCTTTTAACGGTTTACAGAAGAAAATACATTAATGACCAACAAAGAAATGTTCAACCTTGACCAAAGTTAAAGAAATAAAAATCAGCTGAATAGCCAATACAATAAAATTACCAAGAAATCTAGAGTTAACTAAATCAGTAATGCAGGTCTGGTTAATTAAGATGTATGTATCTGTTATTTTCATTCTTAATGTTTAAAGAATCAAATATCAAGAATCCCATGAAATAAGGAAGGACACAATGAGCTGATATGAAAAGATCAGCAAAATATAAAGAAAGAAGCTTTATACAGATGAGCACACGGTATCCATTGGTGGGGAGATTTTACTTTTTACATGATACTTTCCCTGAATTGTTTGCCTTTTTAGCCAGGTACAGCTTTTAATTAAAGGAAAACCTTACACATTTTGGAAAAATGTATTTCATGCGCAAGTTCAGTTAATGACAATAGTAGCAGCAGGAGACAAATATGCCATGATGGCACCCTCCCAAAATCTATTTCCTGACACCAGGGATCATCCTGTCTGCAAGCAAATCTACTGAGAGCTACAGCTGATGTGCAAAGTGTAGCAAACGTCTCCTCCCTTTGAGAGATGAGAATTCTGGGTATCTGGGATCAAGGTCCCACAGCTCTTTTATAAGTTAACACAGCAAAATATCTCATTTTTAACTTCATCATGCCAACTTCAACAAGTTTGTTTCTATTCAGTTATTTATAAACACTGACCCTCAATGGTGCTGCCTGGGAAACTCTTGTGTGGTGATGCTGAAGTTTAACAGCAGCTGAGAATGGTAAATACTGGACAGAGTGACTTTACCTTTTTAAGAAATTGTATTAAGGCCCATTTAATGCCTACAGGACAGTTCTCATGTACAAGGCTGATCATTTCTAGTAATACTCAAACATGTCTACTTCACTGACAGCATTTATGACCATTTCATTTCTCTTTCCTATGAAAATACCGCATGAATTGCCTCCCTAGATGAGAGGCGAGTCTCATACTTTTCTAGGGAAAAAGGTATCACTGGTGGCTCTGAAGTACAAAAGACAGAGGCATTGCGCACTTGGTCTATAAGAGCCAGATGCAGGGTTTCAGCTTCCAGTCTCAGATGCCTCACCTCGCATGAGATTCTGTCATAAAATACTGGAACAATAAAATTACAACTGCAAAAATTACAAAAATATGCCAAAACTAAACTATTGCTTAATGATTAGAACTGGGATACATCCTTGGAATCTATCATCTTCCTGTTCCTCAGGTCATTGGGCTGGTGGAGCTGCATTCCAATTTCCTTCTCACTCTGAGACCGTCACCCTTGCTCAGCCCTTCACTTGCTCTGAACACAGAAAGCAGTAACTTCTCTCCGCCCTCCATGAAGAGCCACCGGAGGCAGGCTGCACCTTCCTGTCCCTAGCCGAGGTAGAAGGGCAGGGAGAGCAACATTCCCACAAACGGTGAACACACGTCCTCCAGAGGAAGAGCACAAGGTGGACAACCACAAGCTAGGTTTTCATTTTTCTCAAACATTATCATTTGTTCCTGGGCCACCTTTTGTCTCTGCCAGGCCAGATACTGGTCATTACTAGGCACTCAAAACAAGCTTGCCTAACAATACATATTGGGCCCTCAGTATAAAGGAAATTAGGCCAGTAACGAGCAAAACTAGGCTGAATGACAGGAATGAGGGCAGTCATTCTTCTGCCGCGGGCCATCAACATTCGGGCTCATGCAGTCTACCCACACTCTGTCACTGGGAGGAAAGGAAAGAGCTGCTGACAAAAACCTGTGGCTCGAAAGCTTTCTGTGAGCTGTTCACAGGCTCATCTAAGTCATAATGCTAAAGATACACTGTAAGCATTAACATGCCAAATGTGAAAGATGACCTACACCCTACGGAGTGGGACAGTCTAGTGTCTGTAGGGTGATCTGTGTATCATTTTTCCTTATACCCGAGGACATTATCATGTAATAATCCCAGTGTCAGTCCAGAACGCCAGCCCCACCACACGCACCTCCTCTGCAGGCTGGGTTGTCATTGTGATTTCTGATGGCCGATCCTTCAAATGAGTATCTACTTCCAGAGAAGAATTGACTCTCTATTAAAACAGACAAGCACACTCATGAATTATGAAAATTTACAACCCATATTAGTACAAATGAATTCTGCTCCCAGAATAACTTCTGTGTGGAACTGTTCATCAGTTTTAGCTATATTAGGCTTTCTGTAGAAATTTAAGCACTCTGTCTTCATGAAAATAAATGCCATGTGCTGGTCTTGGCTTTCTGCCCCTTTTCTTCCCTCAATTTTGAAAATGTTTTCAGAGTAGCTGTGTGTTTTTGTGCAATTACTCAGCTTCTCTGTTCCAGTTTCCTCAATGACAAAAAAAGGAGGTTGGATGGTTTGGCCTCTATGAACCCTCCCGGTTCTATACTCCTGAGATTTCCATGGACTCTAAAAATGATTTAACATGTCTCAGACCAAGATATAGAGAAGTTTAGTGCCCTATTCAGTGACCCAGAATGTTGTTCACTCCATTTAAGATTCCAGTGCTTTTCCATGGTCTCATCTAGTCACATGAACAAGAGCGTTCCTATTTACAGGATGGATTTACAGGGTCTGGCCATAACCTTCAGCTCACTGCTCAGAGGAGGATGGCAAAACCTACTGGTGATGCTCTGTACAATTTCACCTTGAAAAAAGCACTAATTTGTGCACAGAATCTGTCCTAACATTTCTCTCCTCTGGAAAAAATACAGTAAATCATTCCAGATCACTGAGGTGAAAGAACACGAAATTAAGAGTGGAAGCAGTGAACTGAACACTAACACCACCAACAGCTTTATTTGATTAGGAACATAAATTGCAATCAAAACTTATTCCCCAAACGAAAATCTCACCTTTCATAAAAGTGACACTTTCTCTCTCCTCCCCCATCTTGAACCCTCACCCACAAAGGAAGGAAGACACATCAGTAGTGTGGGTGCCCGAAAGGGGCCCTAGAAGCACTGTGCCCATACCATGAAGCACAAGAAGCAATGCAGCTGCTGGCTGCCAGACAGACACACAGCCCTGCAAAGGGTCAGTGTGACCTCTGGGGCAACACTTTTTATTCGAGAGCTTCCAAAAGGCAAGCATATGGGATGAACTAGATTACCTGGGCCTTGGCCAGGAGAGGCTTCAAACGCTCCAGAACTGCCTTCTCTACCTTGTCTGCTAACTGGGTGGTGGAAACACTATTTAGAAATAAAATTGAAAATTAAAATCAAAAGCAAGAAAATATCCTATTGTGCACATTTATTTACCACCCCAGGCGAAGGGAAATCGAATGATTATAAAACCACAGTGCTGTTCTAATTTTCACACAAGATCCCGGGGGATCTTGTTAAATGTAGATTCTGATGCGACTGGCCTGAGGGAGGCCTGAGAGTCTGTATTTCCAACAAGCTCTCAGGTGATGTGATACTGCTGGTCCTGACCCCAACTTTGAGGACAAAGGCTGAGATAACATCTGAAGAAGTATATTAGGCTCTGAGTCCATTTAGAAAGAATAATGGCTGCCTTGAAATGACTAAAGAGGGCACAAGACACAACAAATGAAACTAATTTTGTTCCCTCCCAAACCCCACAATAACAGAATCAGACATAAACTCACAATGACAAGGCAGGGGAAACGGTACTAGAAACTCAAGGACGAAAGTGGTAAGTAACTTACCAGCCTAAGAGGGCTGAATTCTAGGGTTGTGATGGGCAAAGCCAAGGACTCACACAATTTGCACTGCTGACTTAAGAGGCTCAAGACTGGGAGCACGAGTACCCCGAGGCCTAGGGGTGGCCTGGGAGGAGGTGGCTTAACCATAAAAGACAAGAGTCAGATGATATTTGAGAAGTTAGGGCCCTAGGTCCCTTCCCTCCTTCACATACTGGACCATGGCCTCTCCATGGCCTCTCCGCAACTCTGAGAGAAGATGGGTTGGTTGCTCAATCTCTTGACTCCTCAGGGGATGCCAACTGCACTGAGACTGTAGGTGCCCTACTGAAAAGAGGGATGTATGGATATGAGCTGAATGCCTAGGGATAAGATTTACAGACTCCTGACCACCTCAGCTCCAAGGACACACAGGTCCTCACCCTCCAGGCAGCAGATCAAAAGACTCATCTCTGGAGAGCATGGCGCACCCCAAAGGAAAGACCTAAAGACCTGCATGACGGTCCTTAACCAACAGTTCACCCAGATGACCCTAGTGTAAAGATCAAGGTCAATAATCCTTTCATCGGATGGTGCTAGACTAGCCAGATATCCACAAGGAAAACAATCAACCCTGATAAGCATTTCATCTCACACACAGAAATTAATTAAAAATGGGATCACAGATATAAAAATTAAAACTGAAACTAAAAAGCATTTTAGAAGAAAATATAGAATATCCTTGAAACTTCAGCACTGGTCATGATTACTTAGTTCATAGAAAAGATTAACTGTAAAATGAAAAAACTGCTAAGTTGATCTTAATCAAAATTTGAAATTTCTTGTCTTCAAAAGATCCCATTAAGAAAATACATAGGCAAGCCACAGGACTGGGAGAAAATATTTGCTGCACATATTCTGAAAGGGGCCTCAAATCCAGAACATATTTTTTGAAACTCTTAAAAATCAGTAATTATAAAAACAATAAAAAATGGACAAAAAACTTAAATAAACACATCACAATAAGCACTACCAAGTGTTCATCATCATTAGACTTCAAGGAACTGCAAAGTAAAATCCCAGTGAGATAACCACCATGCTCTCACCAAAATTTTAAAAATCATATATTACCACATGTCAGCTGGGATGCAGAAAAACTAGAAGGGAACTCCTATACTAACTAACAATGGAAAACAACCCAGAGGTTAACTCACAAGAGGATGGATACACAGGCTGTGGATATGTGTATGTGAACAGTCACGCGATGGAATACTACTGGGTAACAAAACGAAACACTACACAAGGCAGCCCACTGCCCCCTGACCAGGCCTCCTCTGGAGGTCCACTGCACCTGGTTCATCTCCAGATGCCCCAAATGTGGTAAGCCCTACCTTTGCCAGGACTCATTCATGATCTATAAACTTTCCGGATGGGCACCTAAAAAGTCCCAGGAACTTTAGGAAGGACCCTGCGCAGCCTGCTTTCCCTGGGAACCCTCATCTAATCCCAGCAGCACTGCCTTTCCAGGTTTGGGCCTGCTTCTGAGCTGTCCAGATGAAACAATATGCCGTTAAGGACACACACAAGGGTAACAGATTTATGAATACAAGTAATGAAAAGATGAACACAACAATCAGGACAGTGGTGAGCTCTGGGGAGAAAGAAGAGGCTGCAACTGAGGAGGGACCCGCAGGGAGTTTGAGAGTAGGGATGCTGACCCCTCTCTTGGTTTGGGGGTGGTACTGGTTCACGACACTCACCCTCTAACAAAAGGGCCACAGCCCTTCTAACCTGGGAGTGGACACTCTCTCATGACTGGTGACAGAATGCACAGCTATGTCAATGAGGATTCTGTTCACGTGACTTCAGGGTGACTCATTATCAGAATGAGACAGATGAGCCAACTGCAGCAGTAACAACTAAGCCTGCTCAAGAACTTCTTCGTGCCTGGATTTAGGTGGTGACACTCTTGGGGGCAAATGGGAAAAGCAACCTCACTTGAAAACCTTATGCTGTGCTCAAGCTAACGTGTGAAGCAGAAGTATCCTAGCAGACTGCACATCTACGCCCCACCTGGCCAGCAGACAAGCACCTCCAAGGGAAACAACAGATGTAACACTGATCTTTCAGATAAAACTCCCCCTAAACTGTAGATATCATTCAAACTGCACGCAAAAGAAATACTTCCTTGAAAAAATACTGTGCAAAATACACACAGACATGCAGATACTCATTCATTCATTCACTGGTGAGGTCAGGCCCACACAGTCCAGGATGGTGGTGAAACTGTCCGGACCAATGTAAGAATAGGCAAGCATGCACCACCCTTCAGAAGCAAACACATATCTCAGTTTCTGACACCTGTCCCTTTCTCCAGTTTTCAGCTCATTCAATTCCTTTGTTCTTCTGGAAGTTTCAGCATCAAGCCAATGGAGCCTAAAGGATGCTATCACAGAGTCATCCCAACTCTCCTCAAACCAGCCAGGACTCCCAGGGGCTCCTGTCTGAGCTCCACTGTTGGCTTCTTAGGTGACTTCAAAGAACTTTAAGCAGTCTGACAGACAACAGACATGAGAAGTGTGACTATACCACAAAACAATCGCAACAAGTTGTAAAAATAGCTAGATGATATAAAATAGGCCTGCTGTGTTTTACTCTACCTCAGAAAACAGTCAGTTACCTCTGTTTTTGCATTTTGTCCATTTGTTCGGCTTTTAATTCTTCTAATTCCTTCAATCTTTTGGAAGTTTCAGCATCCAGCCAAGCGAGTCTAGCAGAGAATACAAAAGTCAGGCCAATTTTGCCTCAACCTGCAGGTGTCATTACCGCATAAACAGACCAGGAGTCAGGACCCTGCAGAGCGCCCATCTCGGCTCCATCAAAGACTCAGGAGGTAACTCAGTCTCTGAGCCAGTGAAGCTCTAGGTGTAATGTTCCATGTAAAAAGACATTTACCCGCAAGAGCATGCCTGGTTAGCGTGCAGTGCCACAAAAACCTGGCCACAAATAATCTCAAGAAAACTAGCCTTCGCTGCAATTAGGACTTCTTGCTCAGCTGTAAAACAAAGCTGCTGCTCTATCTTCCAGCTCAGACAAAGAAATGGGCTCCCAGGAGAGCCCCCAACGCAGAGTGAAGTCAAATAAACACAGAAAGGAAAAGCTAACTGGGAACGACCTTAATGTATGTGTTAGCGCTTGATGCTTTCAGCCCAGGATAGTGAACAGTATCAAATTATCTCATGGTCCACTTTCACTCTGGCTTCCCCATAACTGCAAGAACAATTCCAGCCAAATGAATGCAGGTGACCTGTTTTCGCTGCTCTCCTGTCATGGAATGGCCTCACCTCATCACCCCCTACTTAAAGCCTATTCTTCAAGTTCTAATTGATTTTCCATCTCCCTCCAAGAAGCTCAGATCTCTGCAGAGGTGTCCTGTCTACCTTCTGAACTCTCTCAGCATTTAACACTTCAGGTCTCAGGGGACATACAACTTTCTATCTTATAGTCAGTAACATGTCCTCCCTGTTGACTATAAATAATCAGGGGCTGGGAATCTGTCTTTTTTGCCCACCCCCCCTAGTCCCCCGAAAAGGTCTCCAAAGAGCTCACAACTGTACCAAAACAAGCAACTAGTAGACAACTGAAATGCACGTAATTTTTGAATGAATTAGGCAAGGAATGAAAGAGGGGCTCACTGTCTAAGCTGCATAATTTGACAGGAAAGTTTAGTAATTTCCATTTTATATAGCCAACTTTATACATGGGCAAAGGAAGAGCTCGATTTAGAATTCCATTTGAAAGGGGGGTCCATTTCAAAGATCTGACAAACGCCAGCACAAACCTCACTGCTTCGTGTTCAACGGCACCTCTCAACCGACTGTCCTCTTGCGTATCTTCCTGCTGGAGAGATTGTTCTTTGGTGGTATCTTTTGGGCTGGATTTCACCTTGAGCCAGGCAGCACTGCAAAACAAGGAAAACTTATACCTTTGTAACCATTCCCTCCACATCCGATGACTCATAAAAGGTGCCAGCTCAGAAAAGACAAGAGCGTCACAGTACTGGTGATCTACAGGGGGGGCTCTATACTGGAAGCTGAATGTGAAGCAGAGTGACAGCATCCAGGATTCAGGCTTGGTGTCAAAGAAGAGAAGTCCCTTTTTGCTTCATAGAAGCAAGCACTATTTTAAATGAAAAAAACAACTGTCAACTACAGAATAAATAGGTGAAATTCAACAAAACCCTGTTCTAATATACAGATTTAGGTCACTAATTATATTTCACGTTACACAGCAACTCTGCGCCTTTTATCAGGTCTAATACAGCACTTTGAACCCCAGAACCTTCCCCCTTACCTCCCCTATCTACCACACGTACACTCTAGAAGACAGTGCACTGTATATTTGGTTTGCAATATAAACTCCAACCAACTTCTGTTTTCATGAGCTTACCAACTGAATTCACATCTCTACACTACTACATACATAAAAATAGAGAATTAAGAGCACAGAAATAAAGCAAAGAAGCACATATATTATGAAATCAGAAGACCTGATTTTAGTCTCAGCTCTGCAAGGCATTAGATTCTCTGGACAGTTTCTTCACCTTTAAAGTGAAAGCTGATAAATAAGCATAACCATCCACTGAGAATCACTCAGCCTTCAGGGGACCGCATCCCACCAAGCTTCTCACCACATCTCCTGCCGGCCTAAGGAGTGGGACCCTTCAGGCCACCTACCTTCTCGCTCGCTCTCCTCCTCACGTGACCGCTTGTGCTGCCTTCCTGTGACTGCCCTCGCTCCTGGTCCTTCCCACTGCGCTCTGAGAGCCCCCGTCCGCGGGGCATGAACGCCCATGCTTGACCAACTCGCTGAAGCCTGGTCTCTGTGCCTTGAAGGACAGCGCCCTCTCACCGGCTCTGCAGAAGACCGGGCCCGCACTCTCTGTGTGCGGTGAGTAAGGGTGCTGCTGCTACGGCTAAGCTGCTTCATGACCCCAGGGACTGAAGTCTACCAGGCTCCTCTGTCCCTGGGATCTTCCAGACAAGAGTACTGGAGTGGGTTGCCATTGCCTTCTCCTGAGTAAGGGTGACAAGGCAGTGATGTCAGCTCTATCCTAACTGTCTTCTGCGTCAGGACAGCATCTATGAGGCTTGTGCGGTTTTATAATTCATGTTGTCTTGACTTGGACTAGGAATTATTTTTAAGCATTCATTCAGCAAAGATTTACTAAATGCCTACTAAGACTGACTACATCAGGCACTGTACATTCAGCTATAGGGCACAGTTCCCAGCCTCAAGTAACCAGGATCTACTGGGTGTGGAGGCGAGTGAAGAGCAGCCTTCAGAGTCCACAGGGTACTGGAGTGACCTGTGGGAGCTATCTACCCACCGTCAGGTAGGAAAAGGGAACCAATGGGCTTCTAGTCAAAGACATTTCATGTATTCCCATCCAAATGAGCTTTTTTCCTTAAAGGGGACTAAGGCCACTGCTTCATTTGCTCTAAGAAATAGGTCACCTTTGATCTGTGGAGGAAAAGTAAAATCACATACCTGAATGCTTGAATTTTTACATACCATTTAGGAGATGCTGGTGGGGATGTGGGGTTTGGAGGTATCCAAGGAGTCCTACTGTCTTTCACAGGCTGTTGGTTCACTTTTAATCTGGAGGAGACTGTTGTCCTTTGCAGCCGGCTTTTGCTATAAGAGGGGATTGGTCTACTTTTTTGGGTTTTGCGGAGTCCCTGCAAGAGATAAATATGAATTATAAAGCCAAATGGATAGCAAAGAAACTGGTTTTGACCTCAGGCTTACTGAAGGTTCAAATGTCCCTATGCTGTTCATTCATTCATTCAGCAAAAACTTAAATGGAAAGCACTGTGGCAGAAACTTGGGGAGGGCACAGATTACATGAAAACAACCCTGGTTGTGGGGAGAGGGGTACACATGTAAAACTGGAATCCCTGGCTTGGCCATCTTCATATATATATATATAATATATATATATATATTTCTTCCTAACTAAGCAAAAGAGGTAGAAAACATTCTCGGTTAAAATACGTTTCTCAGTCTTGAGGTTTCCTGTCTATAAAATGGGAGGTAATGTCTTCACAAATTTCTAGAAGATTAAATGAGCTAATAGAGGAGGAGTATGATGAAGGCAGGAAGGCATGTGCCACCTAAACAGAACAACTACCATAAAATGCTACAGAGAACAAGGCTGTTTCGGAGAAATATTCCAGGCTGAATTTGTATAGGTTCAACCCTGACTTCCCAATGACCTCCCTTGAGAGTTTGTTTGAAAAGGAATAAAGACTTGATCTTAATCCATGATTTATGAGTAACAGGTGATTATGTTACAGAAGCCTATGGAGAAGCCATCAAATTGGAGTAACCACATTAAGCATATTCAGACTAGGAGGTGGTCTTCTAGCCAGTTTGCCACTGGTAGGGCCTGAAGTTAAATTTTAGATAGAAGCTCAAGAATATAATGTACTTTCAAACCAGCTGACTCCCAAAGCTATTTAGAAAGTACTCACCCGAAGATACCTTTCAATATTAAGTGATATATTATGTATCAATATTTACCAGGAAATCTTCATCTTAACCCCTCAAATTTCATACTTCCAAATCAGAAGCAGAAAAAAACTGTATTTTAAAATAGCCTGCCCAATGAAGACCACGGTATCAAATCAGAAAGGCTCTTACTAAACCTGGACAAGAATGCCCTGTCCTTAGTAACAATACTAAAATTTGTTTTTTGTTTAAAAAAAAAAACAAAAGCAAAAAAACAACCTGGAGCCAAGCTATGTCAGCTTAGACAGCTGGGCTCAAGGGCTTTGGCATTCAAATGCCCAAGAACTCAAATCCTGGCTCCACCGTTTACCAGCCTGTGTGACCTTGGACAATGTCAGATTAATACAAATGGGCCAAAAGAAAGGAGTGATTTCATACTTGCTGTGGTCTTGCTGGTGCCAGAGTATCTTTCTTCCTAGACGGTGGCACATTCTCTGTCATAAGCTTCTTTCTCCCTGCTTTTATTTTTGCCAGGGCTAATGCCTCTTCTTTGAAGCCTGCATTTTGGTCGAGGATAGATGGAACATCTTCCTGAAGGATATCCACCTCTAATCCATCAAGCTCATTTTCCAGCCTCTGGGTCACTGGAAGCTCTGTATCCGGTTGATACTTATCTACATGGAGATTTCAGAAGGACAAGAGGAAGGAAATGCTATTCAAATCAAGTGAGAATGATTATCCAGAGGCAGATAAGCTCACAACCCCCTGTTAAAAACTGAAGTGTCTTGCTGTCAAGAGTTGCTTCTGATCCTATGACTCCTACTGCAGTTCTTACTGCAGAAACCTAAGTACCATGGCTGACTCCTAAATCTCACCTCCCACATTTACTTACTCACCCAGTCCCTCAAATCCTAATTCTATCAGTAAAATACCTCTTGCCCTTTTCTTCCCTCCTGCCACTCCCTAAGGTCAGGCTTGCAATATCTTGTGACTGTAACAACAGCATCTTCTAACAGACCCCTACTTCACCTTCAATCATACCTTCTCCTGACTACCATAATTATGTTTTTAATGTAACTATTTAAGTATCACTTCTCAAAACCTTCCATGGCTCCAAATTTAATACAGAATAAAGTCTGAACTCCATACAGGACATACAACCTGCAATGGGAAAGTAAAACTGTATTTGAAGATGAAATATTTTGTATACAGAAACAATGCAAAGAGAATCTACAGATAGGCAATTACAACTAAGAATAGAGTTCAGCAATGTTTCTGGATAGAAGAAGAAAAATAAACAAAATTCATTCTCATTTGCACATACCAAAATAACTAATTAGAGAAAATATAAGAGAAAAAGTACCCCATTAACAATAGCAACTAAACTATAAGGCACTAAGGAAGAAATCTTAGGAAAGATGTATAAGACTTTTACCAAACAAAAAAGCTCAAAGGTATTTTTGAAGGACAAGAAAGAAAGTCTGGATCAATTATTTTCATGAGTGAAAAAAAATACTGTAAAGCGTCAATTCTCCCCGTAGTGATCCTCAATTTCAAATGCAAGTTCAATTAAAATCTCAACATATTTCTTTTGTGTGGATATAAAATTTTAATGCTAAAATTCTTATGAAGTGTAAAATCCCAAGACAGCCCAAATAATTCCGAAGAACAACGAAGTGAGGAGTAGGGCAGGGGCGAGAGTCTTATTTTCCCAGTGATAGTGTTCGTGATAAAGCTGTAATAATTAAGGCAGTGTGGGAGTGATGCAGGAACAGGCAGAAACCAATGAAGCAGGACGGCTATGACAAAGGCTGTATGACAAATCAGTGAGTATGAACTGGATCGCTCAATAAACAATGCTGAAATTACTAGTATCCACAGGTAACTAAAGAAAAATCTAAGTGTTCAGTGTGAGAATGCTCACCCTCACACTGAACACTTACATTCTAAATGTAAAGAAGACCTAAATGTGAAAGGAAAACTTTAAAGCTTTTAGAAGAAAATATGAGAATATGATTATGACATCAGGCCAGAAAATGCTTTCTTGAAGCCAAATATAATGTTAACATATGTAAACTTAATTACACTAAACCGCACCTTGCTTTTGACAAAGACACCAAAAAAGTCACAGGCAAGCCAGAGTCTGTAAAGTATATAATTAACATAGGCTCAACATCCAGAATATATAAAGAACAACTATGAATCCATAAGAAAACAAACAACACAATAGGGAAACAGGCAAAGGACAGAAAGTGGCAGAGAGAAAATCTAAATTGTCAATAAAAACATGAAAAGATGAGCACCAGCAATCAGAAAAATCGACATTAACGTAGTGAGGTTGGGAGTAAAAGTTTTAATGTGACAATACCAAGTAAAAAAAGAAGATGCAGAAAACAAGTACTCTCACAGCTATTAATGCAGGAGCGAACTGGCGCAGCTACCAGAAGATTCGCCCACACTGTCGCCCAGAAGTTTCACTCCTAGGAACATACTCAGCTTTGAGGGACCCTCATGCATACACAGGAAGACATGAGCACAGATTTCATCAATGATTATAATAGCAAAAAATCAGACACAACCCAAAGGCCCATCAGTTTTTCTACATTTAGACTACTTTTAACAGCAGTAGGCTAAAGGCCAGATTCCCCTTGCATCATTTTTTAATCTGGTACTTTTCAAGGCCATGGAGGTTACACAGTAAGGATATATAAACTGAAAGGAAAGAATGCTTAGAACAAATCCTAGTCTAAAATTTAATTATTAACCCTCAGGTTTACATATAGCAAGGTAACTCTGACCTCTAGGTCCCGATGCCTTTCCAGTAATGATCTGTACAAATCAACTGCAAATGTAATACAAGCTCCAGGGGCGGTTGAGTTTGAGGACATTGCTGGTGGTGGGGTGGGACTGTCCTTACATCTGACGAGTTGTACTAATGCAATCCACCATTGAAAGAACATTCCAGCAGCTGCTAAAAAATGTACCAGTTACAGAAATCACAAGACCAAATCAGGCTCACACATTTATTTCAACTGAAAATGGCAAAGATGTGATTTCCCACCTAACTGGCTCCTTATCACTTCTAGGGGTGGGAGGTCAGAATGGAGGAATTAGGTAGAGCGACATCTAAAACAGAAACAGACACTGCAACCTTCCAAAATCCGGTTCATAAAGACAAGGAAAAATAAACAAATAAATAAATAAATAAAAACAAGAGGACCACCACAACCTTCGCCATAAGCAACTGTACCAAATTTGCCAAGGGGCTAAGCATAATCACACTTCAATTTGTAATGATGATAACAACAATGATTTTATCATCATCTCTTACATCTGTACATTTCTTCAGCTTCTAACATCATTCACATTCACATTGACACAGAGCAGGCAGGGCAATGATCAATTTTTCAAATGAGGAAACGACAGCTAAGTGTTTCACTCAAGGTCAAGGACAGCAGGCAGCAGAGTCACATCTTCTGACTCCCAGTCCAGGGTGAGGCCCATTCATTCTGCCCTGTCAGGAGCTGCAGCGCTGTTCCAGACAGCTGAAGCTTACCTACCTCTGGATCAAATGCCTAATTTGCTACTTTAAACAACTCAGTCAGTCACAGGATAAGGACCACCAGCATACCTGAGAGAGATTGCAGGTTTGATTCCAGACCACCATAATAAAGCAAATATCATGATAAAGTGAGTCACAAGTGTTTTGGTTTCCCAGCGCATACAAAAGTTATGCTTATATAGTATGTAGTCTAGTAAGTGCGCACTAGTGCTATGTCTTGAAAAAATGTACACACCTTAATTAAAAAATACTTTATCACTAAAAAATGCTAACCATCACCTGACAACACAGGGTTGCCACAAACCTTCAACTCGTAAAAACCACAGTATCTACAAAGTGCAATAAAGTGAAGCACAATAACGTAAGGTATGCCTGGATTATCCCCATTCACAGATAGAAAAATGAAGGTTTGGAGAGATGAAATCATCCACCCAGGATCACAAACAGGCAGAGCTGGGACTAGAAGGAGGTCTTTTCATTCCCCATCTTCCCCATAGTGGTCTGTCTTCCTGCTTTCCCTCACTGGTGCCTGTGGTGAGTTTTAAATGAACAGGTTTCCCAACTTTTCTCTCTGAAGCTGGTCCCCGCCTGTTAGTGCACTACACAGTTAAGGGTCCCTCTCATCTCTTAACTCATTTGGGAAACACATCTCTGTGGGCAGGCCTGGAAAGTTCTCTACATTTCCCCCAGAGCATCGTAAACGAGCCCCTGACATCCAGAACTGAAGTTACCATGATCTGTTGCTCAAAGGCCTTTTCTTGTTCTAATATACCCTCTTCACAGCTGGTTATTTAAGAGCCTAATTACTGCTGGGTCCTGGGCTTCCACAGAGGATACAGCATGCAATAAGCATCACACCCATACCGAGTGGAAGGCGGCCTCTGGGTAGAAGGAAGGTGGCAGCACTGGTTCTACTTGCCTACCAATGAAGGGAACAGAATGCTACATTACAGCAAGTAAACATCTAACAGTGACTAAGGAGGTTAGGTTTTGTTACATTCACGATACAGGCAGGGCATTACACTATGGAGGTGCCACAGAATTCGTGACAAATTGAGAAAGTGAACTGATTTATAACTTCAGATCAGCAGAGGAAACAAAATGGAACAAGGACTCGATTAACACAGTAAATTACAACAAAGAAAAAAAAGTGGCAGATCAAAAATAAAAAGGGAAAAAGAAGTCCAAGTGTGCCATTAATCTCAGTAAATGTCAGTAGGTTAAATATAGAACTCTACAACAGAGTTAAAAACAGACAATGAAGTATTCACAACAGACATTCTTAAAACAGCAAAGACGGACTGTACATAAAGGGATGTGAAATGTTATTCTAGGTAAATGCCAAATAAGTTGGGTAGATGAACCAATATTTATATCAAACAAAAGAGAACCCAAAGCAAATGACATTAGAAAGAAAAATATTTAATAATAATATATAAAATCCACCAAAAAAGATTTATCAGTAAGGAACGCTTATGTATCTAATAGCACGACTTCAAAATGTACTAAACAAAAATGAATACAAATACAATGAGAAATTTTAAGTCTTCAAAGACTTTAACATACCTTTGTGTCAGTCATCTAAAGATCAAGTAAATAAAACCAGAAAACTATAGAAAAAAAATAATAAAAGAGATAAAGATTGGAAAGGACAATGGTTATATTCATAGATGACATGACTGTACACACTGCAAAACAAATAATCTGCAGATAAATTACAGAAATAAATTAGCAAGGTTGCTAGATACAAGATCAACGCATAAAATCAACTGTGTGTATACCCATAATATACGCTAGAAATTAAATTTTTAAAAAGACATCCTTTACAAGAGCTCTGGAAATAGCAATACCAAGGAATAATTCTAACTAAAGACGAACACACACACACATTTTAAGTTACTAGGAGTATTTAAAGACAACTTAAATGAATAAAGGGACATACACCCTGCCTGTGGATTGGGGAATATAATTTTGTAAAGATAACAATTCCCCACCAAAATTTCAAGAGGTTGTTTGTTGGGAGTGTTGAGAGACAGAGATCAGGGAAGCAACAAATTCTGATCCTAAAATTTCTACGGAAATACTGAGAGTCAAGATTAGCCAAGACATTCTGGAAGAAGAACTGGTGACAAAAGCTGACTTAAAATAATCAAGATAGTATACACTAGCCTAAGAACCTACAATTAGATCAATGGAAGAGAACAGAGGACCCAGGAAGTGACCCCTACACATGTGGACACTTAACTTATGACAAAAGTGACATCACCACTATAGGAAAAAGGATAATATTTTCAACGAAGAGTGTTATCTCAAGTAGATATCCACCTGGAAGAAAATGAACCTTTTCTAGAAAATAAATAGGAAAATGTTTCCTTAACTATGGCAAAGGGAAAAGCTTTTTTTTTTCTTCTATTAAGTAGTTCTTTATTCTTTTCCCTGACCAGGGCGTTACTGTTGTTTAGTCACTAAGTCATGTCTGACTCTTTGTTGCCCCGTGGACTGTAGCCTGCCAGGCTCCTCGGAGGTCCACAGGATTTCCTAGGCAAGAATACTGGAGTGGGCTGCTATTTCCTTTTACAGGAAAAGCCTCTTAAACAAGATCCAAAAACAAACTTAAAAAAAAACCACAAAACCCTATATAGGAAAAGATCGCTACATTGGAATTCAGTGAAATTAAGAATTCTGTCCATCAAAAGACACTACAGCAACATTTAAAAGCAAGCCACATCTTATTTCTAAGAGAATATTTATAACACAGGTAATTGGGAAAGGGCCCATATGCAGCAAACTCCTACAAAGAACTCGACACATCAATAAAGAAAAGAGAAAGGAAAAAAAGAACAGAAAATAAGAGAGAGGGAGGCAGAGGGAGGACTTTGAAAGAGACTTGAACTGGAACTTCACAAAAGACATGTAAATGGCCAATAAATATATGGAAAAGTATTCACCATAAATCATCCAGAAAATGTAAACTAAAACCACAATGACAGCCTTACACATCAACCAGGTGGCTAAAATTTTTTAAACTAATAACAAGGATGTATAGCAACTATTCTCATAGATGGCTGGTTGGAATAAAAAAGATAAAACTACTTTGAAAAAAATCCTTATTACAATGGAACACATACCCTGATGACCTAACAATAATACTCCTGGGAATAAACCCAACAGAAATAAAGACACACATGTACTAAGAGACAGACATAAAAACAATCACAGTAGTTCTCCTTATAACCACTCCAAACTGGAAAAAACCCAGTGACTGTACACTCCACTCCAATTTATAAAAGGAAAACTCTTGCTGCTTAGTTGCTCTGCTGTGTTCAGCTCTTGGCAAACCTTTGGGATTTTTCAGGCAAGAATACTGGAGTGGGTTGCCATTTCCTCCTCTAGGGGATCTTCCCAAACCAGGGGTCAAACCCATATCTCCTGTATCTCCTGCATTGCAGGCAGGCTCTTTACCCAATGAGCCATCGTATATTCTACTTCAACTAAAACAAGGGAAACCAGCTTATTGGATTTGTCCATACACTGATATAATGGCACATTAAAAATTTCAATATTAAAATTTTAAAACTACTTTAAAGTACTATCAGTATAGATGTGTCAGTTTAACTATGAAGAAAAAAAAGAAGACAAGAAAATCTCTCAGCAAAACAGGAACAGAAGAAAATTTCCTTAACTTCATATGCAGATTTGCCAAAACTAAAGAGTCAGCATCATATGTCAAAATGCATTCCCTTTAGCTAGCAAAGGGGGGGCCTGCAAAAGTTAAGCATCTTAAGATAAATTATTTATGATATATGTAAAACCAGGAAAGGATGAAGATCCAAAATACATAAAGAACTTCCGAAGCAAAGACAGGACCCAGCAGGGAGATAGCAAAGGATATGAACAGACAAATCACAGAAGAGGAAGAAATAAACAAGGCCGAGGAACATGTGAAAGAAAAATCTTCCTCACCAGGAATCAGGGAAATATAATATAAAACAGTAAGAAATTCAATAACATTTTCCACCAAGAGACTGGAATTTTTTCCATTTCATTATATAAAGTACTTGGTAAGGATATAGGGAAATATATACTGATGGTCAGTGCTAGCTGAAAACATAACTGTACACCCATTTTTAAGGGCAAGTTGGCAGTGTCTGTTTTAAATGGGTAAACCACATAAGCTTGCAATTCTACTTACTGGAATAACAACAATTTATTTATTACCTATGTAAAAAAAAAAACCATACATATCAACCAAGTATGTGTTTGTGTGTATATGTATACATAGCTATCATTAAAATGTAAATAAACAAACTTAGAAGAGAAAGTAGGGTTCTGTCTGCCAGCTCTGTAGGAATTTACTTTGGTCAGCCCAAATGCAGAAAAGGGAATTTTACTTTCTTCACCCTCCCTCCTCTATGGAAATACTCCAGCCTCCAGCCTAAAGTAGCATCTTGGTTGCTGTTCACTTATCCTAGTTCAAGTGCACTTATTGTTGACCAGGCTTATAAATCCTGACTTTTCCCTCAATGTGGCAACTGTTACAGCCCAGACAATGTCAAGGAATAAAGTATCTTGCAGTAAACACTTCAGGACACATACCAGCAAGGAGCTTCTTTGCCACTGAAGGGTGTCTTGTTTCCTGTGGAAATATCTCCTTTGCTACAAAGGGCTTCCTCTCATTCTTTGGGGATGTGTTTCGCCATCTCTCTAAGGCCCTTTGGCTACCAACGGGAAATCTGCTCCGCATTTCACTGAAACATTTCTTTGCCTTTTTTGGAGACAGTTTCTTTTCCAGGAGAGATTCTAAAGCCTGCCATGAAACAGTCAATCATTCTCTTAGTTTGTCTCACAAAAGTCTGACTGTTGATCACAAAATGGAAAATGGGGACCCTGGAAAAATGTGTTATTAAATGGCCATCTCTAACTGTTAACTGAACCATTACTTACTTTTAAAACTTGGTTATTTAGGACATCCAGTTAATAAAAGCAATTCTGCATGTTCTTTTACATGTTTAGCTCATGAAAACCAATGATCAAAAAGTAAAGAATATCACTACTATTAAAGGTATTCAAATTCTAAAGTTAAGGATCCCCATTTAAAAACTAACCACAGTCTTCAGAATATAACCCAATATAATTTACTTCATTAGCTCTCAGTGAAAACCTCGTAAACTCAAATAATCTTTTAAGTGGGCACACAAACTAAAACGCACATCTTCATAAACTAAAGGAAACTTAGCATGCTCCTGGCTCTGATCGCTCACCCACCACAATGGGGGAGACCTATCCCTGCCAGCCCCCTTTCCTGAGAGAGGCATGTGCTCTAACAAGCACCCACTCACTCTCACTGGCAGCAAGGGCCCAGTCTCCCATGGTCAGTACGTGCTGACGAAGACTGAACGCAGCCAGGGATGTTTAGTTCGGGTGACAGCGAGGAGCAACAACATAAACTGTGGGATAGTGTGGCACACATCAACAAGAATAAATTTCTCACACTACTGAATATTTTCAAGTGTAGGGGAGATAAAGGGTATGTTTAAGAAACATTATGTTAAGGCACTCATGCCCAAAATTTGGGATAGAAACTGTATCTCTTGAGATCCTGGAGAGTGATCTCTGGAGAATGATCAAGCTATGTTCTTCAAACAAAACTGTTTGGCCTATAAATGTTTTTAATGGATAAGTTTAAAAAACACCACATAACTTGATATGCTACCTAAAGGGCTCCCTTTGACAGTGACATTCCTGATAGTGATTCCACATACATAAATGTAAGCAATGTAAATCACAAATACATTTGCTGGGTAATGACAAAGGTAGAAGGGGTCCTAAAGATCACCAAGGGCTAGCTAATGTAGCAATGGTCTGTCACGTGGTCTAGAATTCTTCCCACTACAGCACGCTTCCCTATAGCTAACAACTTACTATTATGTATCTCACACTAATATAAAGGCTTTTTTTTTAATCTGTGATGAAAATGTGTGGGACAGTGGAAATAACAGTGGCATGGGAGTTTGAAGACAGGTGTTTGATTCCCAGCCTTCAAGAGAAGTGTCTGTGTCGTCTCTGAGCTTTGCTTTTTTTACTATGTAAAACAGTAATAAAATCAACTGCAAATCACAGCAATACAGTAAGGATGAATGGCAGCATTCTCTAAACTTCAGAGAACTGTCAAGATTTAAGGACTGTTTTTGCTGTCTTCATCACCAATAAAAACTAAGAACACTATCCATTCCTGACTAGTACACACCAGTTGGGATTTCCAGAAATCTCTAGCCATAGCACAGACTTTAGGCTTGCTTCCATACATTTTTGGGCTTCTTTTCAATAATCTAGATTGCACACTGATATGCTAACCTCACTACTAAACAGTGCTTTACTGTTTTCCTTTTATATGCTAATACATTCTTTATTAAATAGCATGGTCATGGAATGGAATATTCTGCTTAATTAATGGCCTGGTTACGAGTTGTTTTATGTTCTAGACTTAAGACACCATGTCTCAGAGAAGTAAGATACAATATTGACTAGACTGTAAAAACAATGAAATTAAAATGAAGTGCTCCTTTTGCTCTCTGCAGAGCTTGAATTTACTAGGTACCAGGAGTCTTGTGTTCTCCATGAACCTCAATGAAATCAGGCAGTGGTGAACATAACCTCCCGCTTATAAATAATATACTTTAAATACAAATCGTGGTCAATTTCATACCTCGATCTGTTGCAAGATATCTATCACCACATCAGGGACAGAAGACTCGGCCTCCAGCTTGGCAGAACAGAGAGAGAGCTGGCGGATAAGACTGCCCAGCTCCTTGCACCAAGTAGGAATGGGGTACTCCCCTCCGGCAGTGAACTGAGCGACAAACGTCTGTAAGGCCCGAATTGCTCCTCGATGGGCAGCAGCCAGCCTGGACACTGCCCATGACTGGCAGTAAATGAGATGCAAGAGTTACTTCAATACTCAGAACATCTAAATGTTAACCCAACCCTTAACAAACATTTACAGTCAATCTTCTATGTAAGAACGACTTCCATTGAGAAAACTTTTTCATAGTAAAGGGAACTATAAAGTTTAAAGGTTTCCTAATGACAAAGTGTTTTCCCTCTCATGCTCAACTTCATATACCAGCTGCAACAACAAACAATCTATTTTCAGAACCTGTTTCTTGGAAGGTGACCCTCAAAGTTAGGACATTTAAGACGCTCACTTTCTAACAAGTTTCTACAAGTGTTGATGATAAATATTGGTGGAGAGAACCCACACGCAATATCATCAAAGCACTGGAAATGTAGTTTATAAATAATAATAATTAAGCATAATTAAATTTCATCATACCTTCTTGGTGTGTTTAATCTTATGTGGACTCAATTTATCCAATTCTTCCTGGATTTCTTTAACCTGGTTCATAAAGGGGGGGGGGGGGGGGAATGAAAATCTTTGTACATATCCACTGATCTTTTTTGTAGAAAAGGATGCATCTTATCTTGTCCAAATATAACCATTATTGATTCAAGTTACTTGAAAATGAGAACAGACTCCTCATTCAAGCAACCCCACAACAGCTACTGGTTTCCAGTTTGAGATGGTGACTACAGCACAGGTTTCCCTTCCATCCCTTGATTCCCACTTTAGGAGGAATTTAACATAAAGGAGGTGACTCTGGAAAGGTAGGCGGCCACATCAGCAAGTTTTCAGTGCTGTGCTGCCAAAGAATTCAGCTTTGGACTTCCCTGATGGTCCAGAGGTTAAGAATCCACCTGCTGATGCAGGGTTCGATCCCTGATCCTGGAAGACCCCACATGCTGTGGGGCAACAAAGCCCACGCACCACAACTACTGAACCTGTGCTCCAAGAGTCCAGGAGCTGCAACTGCTGAGGCCCATGCACCCTAGAGCCCAGGCTCTGCAGCACGAGAAGCCACGGCACTGAGAAGCGTGTGCGCTGTGACTGCGGTAGGCCCGGCTCTCCACACAGAGAAGCCTGTGTGCAGCAACGAAGGTCCAGCACGACCAGAAAGAAAATAATTAATCAATCATAAAGAAAGAAGTCAGCTGTCACCCTCTTAGTTACAGAGAGCCGATCACACCTTTCAAGCAGAGCTCTGACAGGCTAAGATTCGTGTTTCAGAACAATCCCTATGACAGCAGTGTAGAGTAAGGACCAAAATAGAAGCCAACAAGAATAATAACAAAATCTCACTCAGGCATTATCTTTAAATCAAAGAACCCAGTTTGGGGTTCAAGCAAGAAAGCTAACCTGTGACCTAAGTGACCAGAAATAAGTTCAATGCTTACTAACAAGTAAGACATTAAAATTGAAAGAGTGAAGTTGATTTTGCAACCCAATGGACTGTCATATCTGACTCTGCAACCCCATGGACTGTAGCCTGCCAGGCTCCTCTGTCCATAGGATTTTCCAGGCAAGAATACTGGAATGGGTTGCCATTTCCTTCTCCAATTAAAGTTGAAACAAACATTTTTAAAAATCTACCCATAATGTAAATAATATAAATGCCTATTCATCAGCCACTACATGTATCCTATACAGAGAAGATTGGCATGCTGCAGTCCATGGGGTCGCAAAGAGTCAGACACGACTGAGCAACTGAACAATGACAAAACGTATCCTGAGTGACATTTAACATATTCTTCATTCTTTACTACTTAGTAAAAACAACCAAACTATCTACTATGTGGTGATGGTGCTTTAGTCACTAAGTTGTGTCTGACTCTTGCGACCCCATGGACTGTAGCCTGCCAGGCTCCTCTGTCCATGGGATTTTCCAGGCAAGAATACTAGAGTGGATTGCCATTTCCTTCTCCAGGGGATCTTCCCAACCCAGGGATCAAACCCAGGTCTCCCACACTGCAAGCAGATTCTTTACCAGTTGAGCCACCAGGAAAGCCCATCTACTATTTTCTAAGTTTCTAATATACAATAAACATGTAATGGATGGGAAACTAACAAAGTCCCTTTCCTCTAAGACTACAAGCTCCATTATGGGGACCAACGATTTCAGGGTAACCAATCCACTTAAACTTCTCTATAAAAATATGTGCTGTATAAGCACTTTTTTCCTGGGGAAAAGGACACATAGCTTTCAGTAGATCCTCAAGCGTCTGTGACCCCCAAAAGCAGAAAAAAATGAACAAAACAGCATTTAAAGAGTTTGGCTGTATACACACAGACACATAAAGACGGAGGGCGGAAAGAGGAAGAACTGTTTGTCCACACATCCAGGAAACTTAGACGCACAAACACACAGAACCCATGCAGGATAGGCCGGCGCTGCTATTTCTGGCACAAACGGAAAGCACGCATTCCCTGGGCAGCCCGCCCCACCCTCGTCCCCGTGCCTCCGCACCTGCTGCTGGAGGACATAGAGGGTACGGGCAGAGCGGACCGCCTGCTCCTGTCTCCTGACCCGGATCCTCCGCTCCTCATCAGGGTCCAAAGCTTCTTCCACGTGATCTGAAAGTATTTCCCCGCCAAAGTGGATTATAAACCATATATAAAAGCTGATTAAAAACTTCAATGGCTCACAGAGATAATGAGGTTAAAGATCTGTAGTTTTACTAAGAAAAAAACATGAGGCTGTCATAACAAAAAATTTGTTTTCATCAGCCAAGAAACTAGCAACAAGCAAGGGGACCTGTGTACTTGATTCCGAGATGGAAGAGACAGGAAGGTGTTAATCAAATCCGAATGCCCCGGACAGCCTAGCCCCCTGTTATGCAGTTTTTATTTTTAAGCTATTTATATTGAACCCAAATCTATAATGCTTTCCATTTAAACAAATGACCTATTTTTATATATAGCAAGATTTCTTTTACACTTTCTTATCCTGAACCCAGAAGAGGAAACCGTTCTCTAACATATTAAGATAGCAAGGGCTAAAATTATTTGCTAAAGCCTTCGTCTTATTTGTCAGAAAAAGGACCCTCGTACACACTGCTGCTCCGTATTTTCAAACAATTAGCTCAAAGAAATTGTTTCTGGAAGACTACCTGAGCAGCCCTGCTCTAAGGCTCCTATACGAGGCCCCATCAGTAGGGTGGCATGCCTCGTGGCTTTGCTTCCCCCCACCTCACCCCAGGAGCATGGTTTCTACCACACTGTTCCATGGGGTCATGCTACAGACCACCACTGAGCAAAGTTAGGAGAAATGAGCCAAGACACTTCTGTTATTGTGATGTAGGAATGTTTTTGACTTGTTCATATTACACAACATATTCTCTATGAAGACCTACCAGAGAAATCTTCCAACCTCTATATCTGGCATAATTTTCTGCTTGTGCAATTTTTTGTTCCTTTGTAAATTCTGTAATTGATCACATTTTCCTCTTTAGCAGACGCTGTGGAAGCTTAGAAACAAATCTTTTGCCCATTCCTAATAAGTCTTACTTTGTGCTTTCCTTGTTTTTTTCCCATGCCAAAATACCCTCATTGACATATTTTTGTTCTATTTTGTTCAATCTGTTTCTGTACCATACCTTAAATTCATTATGTAACATGCATATGCATACATTACTTGACTTTAAAATGCAAAAGATCATCACAGACTCTACTATCCTGGCACAGTAGCTCCTTTTGATGCCAACTCCCTGTGCCTTGCAGTCTGAAAGCTAGGCTTGACTCCCCTACTTCTCAGCTATGGTAACCCCAAATTTTCCATGTGCAACCAATCCTCTACTTTCCAGGAAAATGCAAGGGCGTAGAGAATGCTGAAAGATTGTAGAAAACAGTATGAGAGGATTATATACCTTCCTTTCTACCCTGCGGTCAGATGTCTCATACATACATCTGTAGCTCCCTATCACTGCTGCGTACTCATCTAAACATTGCCCAACTTAGAACTGTTTTTATCTAGAATATACATGTTTTATATAATGTTCTTTTCTGAACAGATTAAAAATAACTTTTCCAGAAGGACTTCTGGATACAGAAGCAAAACATTATAGGATAATTTGCACTCAGGCTCCAGAAGACAGCAGGTAGTGTGATTACTAGGTGGGACCCTCAGTCATTCAACTTACCTAGCACAGCCTAAGGAAAAGGGGCTGTTCCAGGTGCCTCTGCTGGAAAGAGACACCAGGGCAAAGTCTTCAGGAAAAAAGACACTGGTCAAACTCAAAATTCACCTGTCTTGCCATGAATGCTTATTCTAGTGACAGAAGGACAGAAAGGGAAGTGATGAGGGGCAGGGGTCCTAAAGAATGTATTTGGCCTCCACCCTCTTGGAGCATTTTTTTCAAAGTCAAGAGTCCAATTTGTCTCACCTCTTTTAGCTACTGCTTCAATTTTACGGATACAACTGCTCAATTCTTTCTGGAGTCGCTGAACTTCCAGCAGGCATTTGTGTTCACATAGGCTTTTGTGGTCATCTATCCTAGAGTGTGGCTGAAGGCCTGGATCGCGCGTGGGTGGAGAATTTGGCACAGGAAGACCCGACTGTCCTGGATGAGATGTGTACAGGTATACCTTGGCGCCTGAGCTGGAAATCTCTACTTTGGATGGCTGGTGGCTGCCATGACAGGCATCCCGACTCCTTGATTCCTCTCTTTCCACCCCAAGGTCAGACGTTTTATACTGAGAGTGTCCACAGTTCCGAAAGACACGGGGTTGACTTCTGAGGTGATGCTCTTTTCTATGTTCTTCAAATTGTCTTCGTTTTACATCTCTTTTGGCCAGATGAACCGCATAGCTAAGTCTCTCTTCTGATATAACAGAAAATGAAACAGAGCTGCTCAGGCCGGGACCATCTCTAAAACCTAAATCTCTACAGTGGTAAGACTCGTTGTATGAGTGCTTCAGTTTCTCAATTTTAATTCCATGTGGGCAAGAGTATTGGGTTGCCAAGTTGCTTGAATGTGTAGGAACATTCCTATTAAACTGCAGCTGGTTCTTTAAAAAATAAATAAATAAAAGCAAGCACACATTAGAAAAATACCATACTGCATAGCTGACATATGTCTACAATTACGTTTCTAACATTTCATCCACACTATTATTAGCGCTTACGAGGTATTTATTTTCCTGTTGCACTCAAAGAATTGGCCACTCTCACACCCTTGAATTGATCACATACCCCTGGTTCTATCCTACAGTCATCTGCTGCTGCTGCTAAGTCGCTTCAATCATGTCCGACTCTGTGTGACCCCATGGACTGCAGCCCACCAGGCTCCTCTGTCCACAGGATTCTCCAGGCAAGAATACCGGAGTAGGTTGCCATTTCCTACTCCAGCAGATCTTCCCCACCCAGGGATCAAACTTGCACTTCCTGCACCTACACCACCCTTCAAAAGAGGAGAAAGTTCATGAGAAAGTACAAATGCACCTGATCATCTGTGCAAAAAGAAACACAGGGAAGAAAAATCAAAGATCCCAACCCGGGGATCGAACCCATGTCTCTTCTGTCTCCTGCATTGACAGGCGGGTTCTTTACCACTGGTGGCACCTGGAAAGCTCTTACATATCACTGAGTCCCCTGTATTATCCTTCTGGTTACTAGCAGCATACTATGATCCTCCTCACAAAGTCAACCCAGAAAGCTTCAAGCAAAACCAGTAAGTTCCTCAACTCCCCAGTGGCGGACTTCTGCCCTGAGTCAAAATGTCAGGTTCCAGTAAGTGACTAACACAGTTCATCACGAGTGTTCCTGAAAACTGTTCCACAGACGTACCACCCAGAAACTAAGCCAGTGACAATACTTCTTCATGTCTTTCTGAGACTTTTTATCTAGCAGTTGGACCACATCTTTTATCCTGCACCTAAGTGCATCTTGCTCTAAATAGTCCACTTACCCCTTTTCATGCAGGTTTAAGCTTTTGTAGGTTATTATCATGACAGATGGGGCTTCCCTGGTGGCTCAGTGGTAAAGAATCCACCTGCCACTGCAGGAGATGCAGGTTCAGTCCTTGGGTCAGGAAGATCCCCTGCAGAAGGAAAAGGTAACCTACTCCACTATTCTTGCCTGGGAAATCCATGCAGAGGAGCCTGGCAGACTATAGTCCATGGGGTCGCAAGAGTCAGACACAGCTTAGCAACTAAAAAACATCATCATCATCATAGACACAGGTTTTGTTTTTCACTTAATAAACACAGGCATGCTTCCATCTTCCCACAAGTTTTATTATTTTTCATAGTTGCATTTTTCAAAATCGAATAAATGGCCTTTTCATGCTTATCCTAACTATAATCTTATTATTAAAGACTGAGATTGTTCCAGGTTTTCCAATAACAGAAACATTAGTTCAATTAATAGTCCCATGCATTTATCTTTTTTTCTCTTTGCAAATTATTTCCCAAGGATAAATTATCTGTTCTGGGATTACTATGTCAAAAGGAGAAAATCGTCTGTGGCTTTGGACCTGTCCATGTCTGTGGCAGGTCATCAGCCTTGGAAGATTCTGCCGGCAAGCTCGGCAAGGCCTGTACAAAGATGTCTTGTTCGTGCAGATAGCCTCCCCAACTCTCACAGTGCACATGATAATGTGTGTTTATATAATCATGTACATGAAGAGTCAGTTTAAAATAAACCCAGTGCAAGAAAACTGAAGGAAAAAATTTTAGGGAAAAGCAACAGAGATTATGAGAGAGAGGGGAAAAAAAAGTTACCATCTGGAAAGTGCACAGAATGAGGAACAGTACTTGGCCTTATTAGAGAAATCTTTCCCCCCAGAGTAAAAAAGGACCTAAAATACCTAGGGGATTTGATATACGTACTAAAGTAAATAAATAAAGAGTGAATTCCTATTTAACCTGGGTGTAGAGAAAGGCTTTCCAACTATAACTCAAAATCCACATGCAATAAAAGTGATAAATTTTATTACTTCAAGTAAAAATTTTAAAAACAACTTGTTTTTTATGGTTAAAAAAGAACACCATCTGGAAAGAACTGGAAAAATATCTGCAAATACACAGGGCTCCCATATATAAAGAAATCTTAAAAATTGAGGTGAAAAAAAGATGAAAACTCAGTAGAAAATGGTAAAAACACATGAACAATTAACAACAACAAAGGAAGATAGAAATATGACCCTTAAATGCATGAAATGTTGGTCAGGCTCATAAAAATACTAATTAAAAATACACTGAGATGGCAACAGAGCAGCAAAGCTAACACACACAACAACGCAAGCTGCTGGCAAGGCTGTGGGAAGACAGGCCTGCTCACAGGGTCCTGGTGGGAGTACAGGTCCCAGGGACAGGACTCTGGCAACAACGAACAAAACCACACATGCATTTGCCTTCTGACCTAGCAGTCTCACTTCCAGAAATATATTCTGAAGATATACCCCCAACAATACATGTGCACAGGGTATACATGTGTTGTCTGCAACTGCAAAGCACTGAAAGTGACCTAAATGCCCATGTAAAAGCATGTCTCAGTCTCCGGTACACCCACGCAGAGGAGTACCATGAAGATGTAAAGAAGAATGAGGAAGATGTGCAAGAACCCACGTGTAGGGATTTCTCAGGTCTGCTGGTCAGTGCAAAGAACACGTGCAAAAGAGAGTATCTGTAATACGTGTGTGCACGTGTGCTCAGTCGTTTCCAACTGTTTGCAACCCCATGGACTGCAGCCCATCAGGCTCCTTTGTCCATGGGACTCTCCAGGTAAGAACACTGGAGTGGGTTGCAATTTCCTTCTCCAGGGGATCTTCCTGACCTAGGGATCAAACCCACGCCTCCTGTGCCTCCTGTATTGGCAGGTTATTCCACCCTTCAAAAAGAGGGGAGAGATAGTTCATGAGAAAGGACACATGCAGCTGATCACTTGTGCAAAAAGAAACATAGGAAAGAAAAATCAAATAGTAATAAGATAAGGTATCTACAGGGTATGGGGAGGAATTGGGTGGAAAGGACAGAGGGAAGGGTTGGGGGGGGTGGAGGGTGGTAATATTTCACTGAATGTTCTTTTCTGCATAAATTTATTTGGAATCACGTTAATGTTTCACATACACTGCAGAGAAAGGAAGGAAGAGAAGAAGAGAGGGAAAGGGGAAAGAGATAATAAACAAAATTCAGAAGGATGAAGGAAAACATTAAAAATGAGAACTAACAGAAACCAATGAAGCAAACTGAAGTTCAAAAGACTAACATAACCACACTAAAAAGTAAGGGTTTAAAAAAAAAAAAATCAACCCAATCAACTTTTTAACATAGCATTTGGACTATCTACCCTTAGGCTAAAGACAACAAGTTCTCTAAACAAATACTGAACTCTAATCTGCAGTGTTCTTTTTCTTTGCAGAGGCATGGGTTGCAATTTTCAAACACTTTTGTACATTCTAGGATTAAGCAAATGAGTACACACACTGTGGGTAACTGGAAACAGGTTTTACTCTTGAATATGGGAGTTACAGATGGGAAGTGTTGGACTGGATTGGAGATACCTATGTGTACTCAGAGGGTTTTAATATAGACAGATAGGCAGGCAGACAGACACAAAGAAAGGAGGGAAGAAGGGAGTAAGAAAGAGGAGAGGGGAAGGAAGGAGGAGGGGACGCAGATGTGAGTGCAGAGCTGCATATGAATTGTGTTCGGGCATACGAATGTACACAGCTATTTCCCATCTCTGTCCTCGGGGACAGCATAGGACAAAACACGGACATCCAAGAACCAATGAGCATGTCCAGCACCTAGACAGTGACTTCTAAAACCCATTCACCACCAAAGGGATGAGGCTGCTTTCAAGAATGGCTGGGAAGGGGCAAAATACGCTGAGCCTGGCATATCTTTTTATACCAAAAAGTGGTCAAAGATGGATGGCAATGTGAAAAGGACACTGGAATCAACTTGAAGTGAGTCTCATTTCACTGACCAAATCAGAGACCATTTGAATATCATATTGAATTAAGTAAAATGCTAAAAGTATCCTCTGATATAAATAAATCACCACTTGTCAACTGTCATAACAAAAACTGATTCAGGCAAAAGTCATCAATGAATGCTAAAAGCAAATGAAGTCTTGGAAGTAAAAGGATATTAACATGGTCTCAAAGACAGAAACTTCCAATTACAAAAGGTAAAAGAATAACTTTACAATGAAAAACTTGGCAGACACCACCTTCATTAAACAATAAAAGTGAACATGGTCAGTAATGGGAATAAATTGACCTATGTACCTCCTGATGTGATGCACTGAGAAGAACTCAGCATCACTTCAGTGGTTTTCCCACTATGGGTGCACAACCTGAACGTAACTATGAGAAAATTCCAGACAAACCCAAATTGAGAGGAAATCCTCAAGTAACAGGTCTCCATTTTTCAAAAATGTCAATGTCATGAAATACAGACTCAGAAATCATTCAGATTAAAGGAAACTAAAGAAACGTAACAAAACTCATGATTTTGGATTTTCTTTCACTATTAAGGACATTATTGAAACAACTAACAAAATCTCAGTGAGGTCTGTAGATGACACAATAGCATCATTTTAATGCTAATTTCCTGATTTTGATCACTATACCATGATCATACAAGCACAAGTACTTAGGGGCAAAAGGATATCATGTCCTTAACTTAGTCAGTTCAGAAAACAATTGCATGTGTTTGTGTGTGTGTGCAGAAAACAACTGTGTGTGTGTGCGCGCGCGCGCGCCCACGTGCGTGTGTATATGAAGCGAGACAGAGAGAAAAGAAAAAGGAAGGAGGGAGGGAGAAAGGGAGAGGGGACATGTAATAAAAAGTTAACATCTGGGAAATCTGGGAGAAGAGTATCCAGGAACACTGTGTACCATTCTTGCAACTTCTCTGTCAATCTGAAATTAAGTCAAAATTTTATCTGACATATTACTACACCCCCATCAAAATAGTTACAACTAAAAAACATCACCAAATGCTGGCAAAGATGTGGAGCAGCTGGAGCTCTCATTCATTACTGGTAGGAACATAAAATGATACAGACTGCTTTGGGAAAGTCTGTTGCTTTGTTAAAACTAAACATACACCTACTCTATGAGCCAGTAATTTTACTCCCAGGTATTTACCCAAGAGAAATGAAAACATGTTTGCAAAAAGATTTGTATAAGAATGTAGCAGCTTCACTCACAATGGCTTAAACTAAAAATAACCCAGGTGTCCAGGACTCAGTATTAAAAAAGTAACTACTGATACATGCTCAAGGTGGATCAATCTCAGAAACATTATACCCAGTGAAAGAAGCCTCACACCAAAGCTACATAGTATATGATTCTGTGTACATGAAGTTCTAGAACACAGAAACTAATTTGTGGTGAAAAAAAATCAGAATAGTGGTTGCCTGTGAAGGGTAGGCAGCAGGACTGACTAGGAAGGGGCACAAGAGAACATTCTGGAGTAATGGAAATGATCAGTATCTGAGATATGATTTATATGTGTGTGTGTGTGTGTACACACTGGTCAAAACTTAGCAAATATGACAAGATGTATACATTTCAATGTAGTTGTTGAAGATGCAAAATATACCTCAAAAGAAAACAGTATACAAAGAAAGCATTCTAGTGTATGATATGCATACACAAGTACTTAGGGTACTCACATCTGCAATTTATTTTGCTATGCATCCAAAAGTAAGATGGATTGATGAATGGATTCTAGAGGCATGGACTAAAGGACAGATATATTCACTGTAAAATGCAGCTTGCTGTATGTGTGAGGATTTTCATTAATACAAAAAAGACATTTAGAGGACAAGTGGGTGAAGCTGAAAGAAGACATTATTAGAGAATATGAGGGAATTTTTTTTTTCCATTTTCTTAGGCGTGATAATGCTTAAATCTAAAAGGTGATTTAAAACATGTTCATTGTCCTTTTCTCTTTCTCTGAAATGTTTCATAACAACAAAAATCGGAAGAGAAAAACAAAACGAAACTACCTGGGTCTGAAGTTTCCTGGGGTTACTCCTCCCATCGAGTTGCACATCAGATGCTAGATGAACACAGGCTGAGGCTGGTCTGCCTGGTCCCATGGTGTCAGACAGTGTAGACGGATAGTGAAAGCTCAGTCATTGGTCAACAGTTTTCCTCTAAAATCATTGCCTGACATAAGAGAAAGTACTTTTAGACCAACCTTTTCAAAGTGAAAGCACAATGCTATGCTCATGTAAGAATATTCTAGTAGTCTGTAGCAACCTCACACTGCAGAGAGAAAGCTTAAAGACAGGTATATGATGGTTTCTTTCATATACTAAAGCAACTACACTGTTGAAAAGTCTACCTTCCACGAGAATAGGGTACACACTAGCCTAATGACCTGGGCTTTCCTCATGGCTCAGTGGTAGAGAATCTGCCTTCCAATGCAGAAGATGCAGGTTCAATTCCTGGGTTGAGAAGATCTGATGGAGAAGGAAATGGCAACCTACTCTGGTATTCTTGCCTGGGAAATCCCACGAACAGAGGGACCTGGCAGCCTATAATCCATAGGGTCGCAGAGTCCCAGACATGACTGAGTAACTAAACAACGACAATTAGCCTAATGACTACTTCTTGAGTCCTTTTCTTCCCAAATTTCACATCTCAAGGGTCGCCATTAAGATGTTATTCCAAAAACAGAGCTCTTCTATGGTAAACACTTTCCATCAGGAAGTTTTATGGATATAGTCTACGTTAATAAATTCTAACTACCAATCAAAAAGCAGTACACTTCACTCTTCTAGATAGCTCAAAAGATTCTAACTCTGAATGACTCTGCCAGGAACTAGCAGAATGGCCTCTGTACATCTTCAGATTCACCCTAACCACCCCCACCCTACAGCTGTCTAAAGATAGGCAAGTGTTTTATAAACCACATGGGAGGGCCTCTCCCTATTCTGAATGCCTCCTTATAGACACCACGCCTCCTGTACTCACCCATTTGCTTGTGTTGTTATTTATCTATTTCACAGGTATTTGTCTCATCTTCCCAGCTAGACAAGGTTCCTTGAGGGGAAGGGCCTTGTCATGTGCTTCTCTGAGATTTCCCCCAACACAGTGTTTTGAGCACGGTAGACAATTCAACTCAATATTTGTCGAATTAAGCAGATTTTCCATAAGTTGACCAGCATTAAATGTATGGTGAGAGCTTGTCTTCTTAAATAATTCAATAGGAATTCAACTGGGAAACTCAGGATTTCCCTAAACTTTTGAATAAAGCCAAGGATTGTAGACTGGATTTGCTTAAAGACTGATACACGGTAGGAATATAAAGATTCCTTGTTTCTAAGGCTGTAGAGATACGCTCAAAAGCGAAGATAGGAGGAGGAACACGAGTGAGGCCATCCCAACTGGCCTGATGTCATCATGGTTCGGGGGCTGGAGCCGCAGGAGGAAGGAGCCTGCAGAGTCGAGCTCTCGGCAGCTGGGACTTTTACAAGGTCAGTACTCCCTGGCTGGATACCGAAGGCCTATGGGTCCATTCTCCAACAGGAAAAAACTAGATGATCCCACAGTTCCAGAATACCTCAAGTGATGCTACACACACACACAAACACATACACACAAAGTCCAGGGACACTGGCCCCAAACCTTTCCCCCACACAAAGTTCCCAAAAGGAGAGGACATCGCTCTCCTTGCAACCTGTCCCTTTCCCATTGCACCAGGAAATCTCCCGATATGCTATCCCATATGTGGTGAGGTGTCTCCACAAAGCCTCTCTTCTCCACCCCAAGATATCCCTACACCACAGGACAAATCTCTCCCCAACCTGTTCCCTCCCCGAGCCCCAGGATCCCCCAACGCCATCCCTACTAGTGGAATGCCCCCCTTAATCTGTCCTCCCCCTCAAAACTGTCTCCCAAATTGTTTCCCCCCGCCCTGACGGCAGACTCTCCTCCAGCCTGTCTCCTCCCACCCTGCCGTGCGTGATCTCTGACGAGGCCGATGCCTGTCTCCTCCTGCGACTCGTGGGGCACCTCCTCAGCTTCATTCTCCCCCACAGTCCCACCTGTTCTGGACACTCCTGGCATGTTCTCATAGTCCAGTTCTCCCCCTGCTGACCTCAGGCACCTCCATAATCTGGTCCCGTGCCCACAGGTGTAAGACACCCCCACTGGCTGGCTCCTCCCCACCAGCCCCAGGACGTTTCTACCTCCCATCTCCCCTGTGGGGGGAGCCCCGGGGCCCTCTGCGAACTGTCTCCTCACCCCCGCGAGGTCAGAGACAGCTGCCCTGGGTTCTTCTCCCGCAGGCCCAGTCACCCACACCACCGCAGGGCCAGGCCCTGCCATGGGAACCCCTACGGCTGCAAGCACCCCCAAAGACAAAGGCACCCCCGCAGCCTCAGGGACGGCTCTGTCAGGTCTCCTCCATGGGTCTGCAACACCTTCAGAGCCAGTCTCCCCGTCCACAAGTCCTGAAGCCCTGGCAGCCACGGGCACCTCAGTCACGGGTCTCCTTCCCCATACACCTGAGCCATCCCCAGAAGTAACATCGCCCACCAGCGGCCCAGGGGCCCCGACAGCTGAGGGCACCCCCACTGTCAGGGAAATGCTGGCAGCCGCCACCGGCACCTCAGCAGTCTGTCTGCTTCCAGATAAGCCTGAAAAATGCCCAGAGAGCATCTCCTCCCCCACAGGCCCTGGCATCCCCATGGCTGTGTGCAGCCCCATGGTCACACATGCTCCCCCAGACTGTCTCCCTCCCGCCAAGCCTGAGATGCCTCCAGGCCCCATCTCTTCACTCATGGGCCCAGGCACTCTGGCAGTGGTGGGCATCCCCATTCTGATGGGATCCATGGCATCCATAGGTCCCCACACTGTCTCTCTCTCCCCGCATAAGCCTGAGACACCTCCAGAACAAGCCACCTCCTGCACAGGCCAAGGTGCCCTGAGAGCCACGGGCACCCCAACATCTGCAGACACCCCTGCAGTCAGAGAAACTCCTGCTGTCTGTCTCCCCCCTGGCAAGTGCAAGAACCCTCCAGAGCCAGTCTCCACCCCCAGAGGAGCACACACCCGAGGGGCCCAGGGCACCTCAGCAGGCATGGGCACCCTGGCACTCTGTCTCCTTCCCCACGAGCCAGCATCCTCCCCCGCCAACCCCAGCTCCTGGGGAGCCGTGGGTACCCCTGAAGCCGGGGGTCTCCCGGCAGCATGAACCCCTGCCCACAGGTTCCAGTCCTCCCTGGAGCTGCCTTCCTGACCCACAGAGTCAGACACCCATACAGCAGCGGGCACCCGGGCAGCTTCACCCCCGGAACTTAGCGCACATCTATAGCTGGATACCCCAGCTGTCTCTGGCACCCTCACGTGCTCAGACAGCCCTACAGCCTGTCTCCTCAGGCAGAGACAGGAAGCGTCCCCACAGCCAGTCTCCTGACATACAGACCCAGGACTCCCTACAGCAGCGGGCACTACAGCCTCCTGCTCCCCCAGAGCCTGCCTCCTTTCCAGGAGATTCAAGACGTTCCCACCATAGGTCTCTCTGACCACGGCTGGCACTGTCTCAGCCAGAGGCACCCCCAGAGCCTGCTGTCTAGCCCACAGGCCCGGGACGCAGCAGCAGCTGGTCTGCACTCCTCCGGTCCCTGATAATCCCACCGCCTGGGACACCCCCAATGGCTGCTGTGTTCCCCACAAACCCAGGACACACCCACAGCCTGTTTCCGTCCTGGGAGGCCAAGGTACCCCTGTAGCCTGTCCTATACCCCAGTGGCCTGGAACACTGCCAGGGCCTGCCTCCTGCTCCTCGGGACCACACACTGCCCAGCCCGCAGTCTGGGCAGCTTCCCAAGATCCTGAGTTTCCCCCAGAGCCTGTCTCTGCCCACCCGGCCTGTCCCCTCTCCCTGAAGCATGGGTCACCCCCATATCGCACTCCCTCTTCAATCGCACAAGGCACCTCCACAGGCTGTCTGGTGCCCCACGGGCCAGGAAGAGCCCTGGGGCCTGTCTCCCCCACAGCGCATCTCCTCTGCACAACTGGGGCACCCACAGAGGGAGTGTCCCCTTGGGCCGCTCTGTGCACAGCTGTGGTCTGCCCTCTCCCCCACAAGCCTGGGGTATGCCCACAGATCACCTCCTGTGCCAGAGCCCCAGGCACCTGTGCTGCCCGCTGTCTCCCCCAAGGATCCGGAACCCCCCCACAGCAGAGCTCTCCCGCCACAGCTCTGGGTACCTCCACAGCCTCAGGCCACCCCGCGGCCCCGGGCACCCGCAGAGTCAGTCCTTTTGCTGAAGAGCTGGGGGCAACCCCATAGCCAATCCCCTCCAAGGGCCCAGGCACACCCACAGCTTGTCCCCTCCCGGGCAGGTGTGGGGCAATCCCGGAACTTGCCTCCAGAGTCTCAGGCACAGCCACAGGTGGCATCCTCACAGCCTGGCCCTGCCCAGAGCAGCCCATGGCCCTCTCACAGCCTGCCCCTGGGCCCGGAGGGATGGATAGTCCCCGGCCCCGGGGGGCTGCCCCCGCCTGTCCTTTCACCCACGGTCCGGTGAGACCTTCACGGCTGGTCTCTACCCACGAAGCCCGGCCAGGAACCCCCCTTTCAACCGGCCCCTCTCCTGCGGGCACAGGATGGAGCTCGACTCTGCTTCGTTGCCCACCTCCTGAAGCTGCCCTCATAGCCTGCACTTTCAACCACAGTTCCAGAATGTTCCCATGCCCCACGGATCCCGGACGCCCTTTCCTCTCACAGCCCCGGGGGCTCCTGTAAACCGTCTCCTCCTCCCCGGTGCCAGTCACCCACACAGAGCCGACAGGCCCCACCACCTGCGGTTCCCCTACAGCCCCGTTTACCCACACGGTCCCACGGTCTCGTGCAGCCTCCATCGAGCATGCAGGGCCAGGTGTTCCCGCAGCCTCGTTCTCCGAGGCCTGGGCTCTTCCCGCTGCTTGTCTTCTCCCCCATGGCCGCCGACGATTCGGCAGCCTGTCCGCACTCACGCAGCGCGTCTCCCGCACGAAGGACCTCGCCCGGCGCCTAGTTCCACGGCCTCGGAACATCCCTGCACCCCACCTCTTTCCCCACGGCCGCCGGACTCCGCGTCCGGACCGGCTGGGTCCCACGCATAGGCCCGGTCTCTCCTCCACGAGCTCGCGCACACCCGGCCCGGGCAAGGCCCCTTGGCCAGCCGCCCCACTCATCGCTTCAGGATGACTCCCGCCTTCCCAACGCAGCCCCGGGGCACTTTCTGTCTCAGCACCAGCTCCGAGGGAGGCTCCACACGCGCTCTCACACACTCAGCTCCAGCCCTGCAAGCCTTCTTCCCTCCCAGCCCCCTACCCCCGCCCAGTCCCGGACGCCCGCCCCCAACTAAAGCCTCGGCAAAAGAAAAGGTAACTAGTGCCGACAGGCGGCAGGATCCGCCCCGGGTCAAAGTCTCCTCTCCCTCAGATCCCGGACTCCTAACGCAGCTTCCCAGAATCCCCCCAGCTCCAGCCGGAGCCCACCTGGCCTGGGGAGCGGCGCGGCTACCAGGAACCCGGCAGGGGGTGGGTCGCGACTAGGCCCCACTTCCGGCCGCTGGCCCAGTCGCCATAGCAACAGGCGCAGGGCAACTTGGGAGCCGTTAAAGCTCCGGAGCCACCAAAGGACTCAGGGACTGCGCCGCGGCAGGTTTTGCAGCCACTGCATATGGGGCTGGAAGCGGGACCAGACTGGCGCAGAAGCCGGGGTTTCGGGGTGCCACCGGCGCAGAAAGACCTGACAAGGCAGAGCAGAGAAACTGTGCGGAGGAGTTTTGGCCCTCAGAGGCTCCCATAGCACCGCAGAGCCGGGCGGGCTCCCCCAGGCCCGGCCCTACCCCCCGCCCATTCAGAAGCTGCTTCGCCCCACCCCGCCCAGAGCCCCACCCCTCAGTGGCGGAACCCGAGACACCGCTAGCGTTCCGAAGCACGCTTTCCCGATGGCCAGCTACGAGGAGGTGAGCGTGTCCGGCTACGAGGATTTCATGCAGGTGGTGGAGCAGCACAGTGGCAAGACCATTTTCGCCTACTTTTCTGGTTCTAAGGACGCCGAAGGGAAAAGCTGGTGCCCCGACTGCGTGCAGGGTGAGGCCAGGATTCGGGAGGAAGTGGCTGGAAGGCCGAGGTTACAGCCAGATAGCCGGGTGGAGGGGAAGCGGAGGAAGTCTTGCTCCCGGAGTCCTGCAGGGCGATTTGAGCTTTCCTCTTGCCTTTTCCTACCCTGTTCCGACTCTCCTCAATATATTAAGACCTTCACGCCCCGCCAAAAGTGCTCTTCTAATCATTCGATCCAGGTAATCTTGGAATCTAGTGCTTTAGAACTTTTCACTTCCCCAGTATGACTAGTGTCTTGCAGGACACGTGAGATGGTCTCCTTTCCGTAATTCAGCAAAGATTTATGTCTTTGACTGTGCTGGGCGCTGTGGCCTGGGGACAAATCAGGACTGAGGAGGCGGACCTTACCCTTTAAAGATTTATGATTTCTCCAATCAGAAAAAGAAAAGAAAGAAAAAAAAACCACCTAACTTGTGTTAACCTCAGTTAACTGCACGGTAGTCTAAGTACTTACCAAGACTGAGGGAAAGGAGAGGGACGCTGTTTGTCAGCGCCTGATTGTAGAGTTGGTTTGTAATTACTTTCATTTTTATCAACTTTTTTAAAAGCTGAACCAGTCGTACGAGAGGGGCTGAAGCATGTTGGTGAAGGATGTGTGTTCATCTACTGCCAAGTAGGAGAAAAACCTTAGTAAGTGGCAATGGGTTTTCTATTTCTCAGACACACACTAGACTTGCAAACAGGCGAGAAGGGCCTTTGTGATTCAGCTTCTGAGTTCTAAGGTTCAGTCATGGATAAGTCAAGCAAGTAAAAGATATTAAATACAAATTAAAATTTTGAATGTTCAGCCATTTGTATTAGGTAAGGGCAATTCAATAATTTGGCTTGATGTTAGTTCAGAACTTAATTGTCTCTACATTTATTTTATATCTTAGTATATATTCACTTAAATGAAATTTTTCACAGGAGAATAGGTCATAGATGTCAAGGTTTTTTAAATGTTTACAACAAAAATTATTACTAACAGCTAAAGTGGGAATGTATCAAATATCAAGCAGACTTTAAGAAACCAAGTAAATGTTTTTCATGATCACTTTCTCTTTTTGAAATAGTTGGAAAGATCCAAATAATGACTTCAGGAAAAACCTGAAATTAACTGCAGTGCCTACACTACTTAAGTATGGAACAGTGAGTATCATTCTTTAACTGTTTTGGAGATAGAATTCACCTTATCAAAACTCTTCACTTGTTCTGGATTGGAATTTGAAAAGATCTTGACATTTCATCCCAAACATCACACTGCTCTCCACAGTGCATTCAAAACAGACAACTTGGCCGTTCAACCCTACGGCCAATCCTAATAACGTATTAATAATGCAAATACTGGTGTTTTTTTCGTGACTTTTAAAAGCCACTCTTATTTTAAAATTCTGTAAGCACTGCTGAAGAAAGCTGATTCACATATAATTCCTTAAAACAGCAGCATCAATAGTTGTTTTCAACTTAATTCATAATCCTGGAGGAAATGAAAGGGCACCTCCTCTAGTCATGGCCCTGGGATTCTCAATTAGAGTTAAGGGGAAGGGGAGAAATTGGACTTGCTGTCTCCTGTTTTAGTCCACGGAACCAAGTATTTTAATGATTCACCTTAAGGTAAATAACTATTTCATAAAACTTGTTACAACTAGTTGATAGTTTCTGTATGGGATAATTTCTGTTTCAAGACTTGTGTCATTCAAAGCATAACAACTCATTCCCTTCCTAATAACATTTTTGTAACCATGGGTTAAGATATGACTGTTCTTCTCTTACAGCCTCAAAAACTGGTAGAATCTGAGTGTCTTCAGGCCAACCTTGTGGAGATGTTGTTTTCTGAAGATTAAGATTTGCTGATGGCAAATTGTGTCTATTTCCATATTTGCTCTACTATAAAAGAAACTGTATGTCTGCTTTGAATTCATGTTAACAACAAGTAAATTAATCAAGGAGGATGTAAAAGAAATTGGTATATATCTAAATATTAGAGCACTATTAAAATGCTCCTGAACCCTCAAGTTTGCTTTAATATAAAGGTATTTTGGGGCTTCTCCATTGCCTTAGTGGTAAAGAATCTGCCTGCAATGCAGGGGATGTTATGGGTTTGATCCCTGGGATGGGAAGATCCCTTAGAGGAGGAAATGGCAACCCACTCCAGTATTCCTGCCTGGAAAATTCCATGAACAGAGGAGCCTGGCAGGCTATAGTCCATGGGGTCACAAAGAGCCGGACACAACTTAGTAACTAAACAATAACAAGGGTACTTTTAAGCTACCATAGGTAAAATAAGTCTTTAGGAGTGGCAGTAGTAGCACAAAGGTATTAGTGGAGATGACAAATACCTCAAAGACCCTAACAGTCCAGTAGACAGCTTCCAAATCTTAAAGGAGTTAGGATCTTTTACCTTAAATTCCATGAATTTACAAAGAATCGTTATTCCTAAAACACCTTTGGCTTTACAGTGTAGAACTTAACCTAACCACTGAAGGGAAGTCCAGCGCCATCTACTCCAGCCTCTGCCTAATGCTGGCAGTGTTGTTACAGCTCTCTGGATGTGCTTCACTGGGATGAGGTGGGTGGCCAAGAGATGAGAGACTGTATAACCTGGTGGTGGGAAGGACTCCAGTCTATGAGTCAGTCTCAATGATTATGACTAACTGTAACCCTAGGCAAGTTATTTAACCTGTCTAAACCTCAGTTTCCTCCTTTATGAACATGGATCATTCTGAGGATAAAATGAGAATGCAGCTAAGCCTAGGGCCTGGGTTTGTGGTATCTGCCAAATAAATGTCAGCTTTCTCAAATGAGTACAAGTATCTGAGGCTCCTCACCTTTGTTCTAGTCCAAGATCAAGAGTCCAATTAGTAGTTAACCACCAGTCTTCTCCCTGCCATTACTAGGTCAGTGACATACCAATGATTCTTCCTTAAAGCTCTCCTGCAAAGCAGCTCGTGACACAGGTATGTCTCCGGCCTGTAGAATTTAAAAACTTTAATGCAGTTCCTGGTGTCTGATGTCAAGAGGTCACTGACTATCACTCTGCAGAGGATGGGTGGGGTAGCTGATGTGAGGGACAGCAAGGCTCCAGGAGACAGACCTGTCTCATGTCCCACTGCCTTAAATAGGTCTACAGCACCTAACATTTCTGTTCTTCAGACATTTCTGTGTTAAATACTAATAAAAGCTTACAAATCCACAGGGAAATCAAAGTAAAACAATTCTTGTTTAACAGAAATAATCTAGTAACAATAAAAGTTCAATTAAATAAGCACACTAACAGTTCTGGCTGCTACCATAATAAAGGTACGCAGGCACAGTCTTTTTTTTTTTTTTCTTCACTGTACAAAAGCAATATATACATGTCTTAAGAGCCTGGTCGGGATCCAGCTTTTTATTTTCCTGATGTGTTATTCTGCTGTTGCTGCTCCGCCAGGGCTTGCTGAAGGCGCATCCGCTTCCGGGAATAGTGCTGCCAATGCAGAATTTGCTGCTCATCAATAAATTTCGCACACTGAGCATTCACCAGCTCCTTGCGGAAGTGTTCATACTGGAGCAGTTCTAACATGTGTAAACACTGAGGGTACCTGGGGTTAAGTTTATAAGTTAATGATTGACATAATAATACCACGCTCTAGTTAACTCACTTAAACATGCTTTTGCAGTCTGTCATTTCTGTAACATTAACTTGGTATACTTTGGTAATACATTTTTTTTCTGCTTATACAGAAAAGCTAATCATCAAAAGCCAGCAAAATTTTCAAATGTGAGAAAATGTAAGCTTAGAAAGATTAAATAATTTACCTAAGACCACACAGTAACTGGTAAACAGCGTAACTGTCAACTGGTAACACAATAACTGGTCAACATCTGGGGGCAAATCACACTATTCTCTTCTGGTGATTTCCAAGGTAAGGAACAGGAACACTTTATTTTCATAATTATGTGTTTAATACCTATTGGTTTTCCATAAACTATGATAAGAAGACAGCTTTTAAAAGTGGGTCAACTTCAGGAAAAACTATGCTCAGATACTGTATTCCTGTTTTCCACAGGGATATAAAAATTCCGAAATTATGTACATATACCCTGAGATTGAGCAAATACACTGTAAACAGAAAGCCAAACTTCTGGCTCCCAGAAAAGTAGTTTCAGATTAAGGAAGGGGGAAGGCTAGAATGAATCCTGTTATTAAGTTGGAATCGAAAACATCAGGATGAACTCACGGCTTTATACACACACACAGATATAGAAATAGATACACACAGCACATTTCTAGCTTTATGTGTTGAGAGAGCCTAAAATCAATGACACTCCAGGACCAATGAGGACACCGAGTACCCAGATCATGGGTTTTAAATAGTATTATCCAGGGTGGGTTGGAGACGCAGCTGATGCTACGGCTAACACGGGGTAAGTACAAGATGAGCCTGGAGTATTACAGAGTGGCAGAAAGAGAAATGCTCGAAAAATATAGGGATATGTTGAAAGTACACAGGAGCCAATTTGAAGGGGCTCCCACTGGCTATACCCGGGATCACTACTTCAAGAAGGTACATAATTATAACCCACAAGATAAAGAATCCAGGAGTCCATACTGATGTAACTTTATAAAATGAATAAACAAATCAAGAACAAGGAAACAGTCTGTACTTACAACTGAATTTCAACTAACAAATGAATAAAGAATTATGGAATTAGAAAATCACAAAAAGCTTTCAAGCAAGTATTTTCCATAGATTGCCAAAGTTAGGTGAAAGACTGAAATATGAAACAAGATATTTACATAGCCTCAAAGCATTCCCTCACAAGATAGGTATTAAAGACAAAGCGAAAAACAAGTAACTTGATACAGAGAAAACTAGCAGCCACCAGCTGAACCAGGTTATCAAAAGTCTGGGGTGGAGCCTGAGCTCTGCATTTCTAACAAGCTACCAAGTGATACCGATGCTGTCGGTCTGAGGACCACAGCAGGGCCCAACACCATGTTTCCTTATTGAATATTTGCTTCCTATACTCCAGAGATACGTGCTGCTGCTGCAGCTGCTAAGTTGCTTTAGTCGTGTCCAACTCTTTGCGACCCCATAGACAGCAGCCCACCAGGCTCCCCCGTCCCTGGGATTCTCCAGGCAAGAACACTGGAGTGGGTGGCCATTTCCTTCTCCAATGCATGAAAGTGAAAGTGAAGTCGCTCAGTCATGTCTGACTCTTAGCGACCCCATGGACTGCAGCCTACCAGGCTGCTCCCTCCATGGGATTTTCCAGGCAAGAGTACTGGAGTGGGGTGCCATTGCCTTCTCTGCCAGAGATACATAGTTGCTTGTAATTGTCAGCAGCTAAGGCTGGAAAGCCCTACTCACACCTACTCTAGCTATTTCCTTCGCATGAGGATGTTCTATCAACAAAGACCTAGGTTTGAAACCAGCTCTGCCCATTCTCCAGCTGGGTGTCCTTGAACAGGGTACTTAATTAATCTTTCTTAAGGTTTAGTTTCTTCCTCCATAAAATAAATTAATGTGACAACCAAGAGGGCTGTCTTCAAGTAACAAATGCACTTCTCAATAACTGGAACTTATACATACAGTGATCATTTATAAGACTTGGAGAAGACCACGCTCAAAATAAGGGACTATAAGTATTTTAATAGGCTATAATTATAGCATCAACCAACAAGATGAAATAGAGGAGATACAAAAGCAAAGTTTGCATTTAGATTTTTTTAAAAACAAATGAGAAATAAATGGAGAACTCAACTAACAGCACTGATGAAAATGAGAACTGAAGGATTTTATCTGACATAAAGACCCCAGCAAATCAACAATGTGAATCCTTGACTGGAAGAGAGAAACTACAGCTGCAGGTCGTGGCTATTAGTGAAACGGTGGAGGAAATTGTCTAGAAGAGGTAGCTGCTCCTCTGCTCTAGATAATGACTGACCTGGGAGAGCAAAGACCTGGGATTACCAGATCTTCCAGAATTTCAGAGAAGCTGGAAATCTGGATCAAAATACAAAACTCTCCAATCTTTAAATGTTGGCAACTAGTAAACAAAAACCTTGTGCAGAAATGAAGTGGGGGTTAATTTACAGCCTCTCTTAAATTTAAATATCTGAATGGCTACTCTTCAAGAAGGCATAGATTGATTCTGGATTAATTAAGGGGCAAAACTAAGAACATGAGTTAAAGTTACATAGAGGTATATCATGTTACAATACAAGGAGGAACTTTCTGGAATCTAGCTAACAATGGAATTAGCTGTCCCTGAATGGAGTAGTATGTGTTCACTGGAAACCTCCAGCCAGTATACAGATGACCATTTCAGCAATGTTGTGGGTAAAACTGAAACTGATGGTGTTTAGGGCTCAGTGTCCAACAAAGTCTATAATACATACATATGACATGTTGCAATCTAGTAAAAAAAAATCTTTTCTCTGGATTATTAAATGAATAAGTGGTTCTTTTATAAAGGGCCAGTAAGGGGAAAAAAAAGGGGCCAGTAAGGCTGGAAAGGGTCCCACAGGCAACAGGAGGATGTGGACTTCATAAATCAGCTGTTATTAGACAGAGAAAAGTGGCTTAGCCAAAGTACAAGTCTGAAACATTCTCCTCTCAAACTTGTGTTTGTTTAGGGGAAAAAAAAGGCTAGATGTTTCATCACTGCTTTTTGACTACCTATTTAAGACAAAACAGCAGTGGGAGTTCAAGGCTTATTTTTTACCATTAAAAAGACATGTTTGTGATTATAATATGCTCCTTGCATTTCACTAAGCCTTAAAACGAGAGTATCTATTGCACAACTTGAATGATAAATTCATGTATTTATTATGTAAGATATATAAAATAAGAAAGCAGCTATTAAGACTCGGGTAAGGTTACCTCCTCCAGAAACCCTTGCTTTACAAAAGTACCCCTTTCTATGTTCTTTCATTTTCAGGCTATGGTTGTCCTTGCATATATAGACTGTGGGTTCCTTGAGGTCAGAAACTCAGTGAGATACAGGGAGTGGTACAAGATAAGGTCAGAGAAGACAGGGACAGATCACTCAGGACAGAGACTAGATTTTCTTCTGCATGCAATGGGAAGCAACCAAAGGATTCTAATGGAATGTTATTTCTCTTCTTAAGAGACCAAGTTGGTTTCTGTGTAGAAAATGGTGGTTCTTTGTTTGGCAGTGCAGGGAGAAAGGAGGAACACCAGTGAGTAGATACTGCAGTAATCCCAATTAAGTTAGAGATGAGTGTGTCTCGTATTAAAATGGAGGCAACTGAAAGGAGAGCAGAGATTCAACAGGTATTTTTTCCAACGTGAAACTAAGAAGTCTATTAAACATCAGTGCTTTGGAGTATAATAAAGTACACACACGTTTAGGACTACAAAAATTAAACTTACTTTAGATACTTGGCATATTCTGGTTCTTTCCAGTAAAGCAAGTACTTAAGATAATTAACAAAAGCTTTATCTTTGAAGTAACCTCTTTGGGCAAGAACTGAAAGGCATAAAAAAAAAAAAAACATCTGTAGAGCACACCAGTCCTTGGACTACTCATTTGTGACTAACATAATTGTAAAGAATTTACTTACATAACATTCCCACCACCAACACACACTGAATTCAAAACAGAAGTCCCAGTTTGCTCAATTATATATACCAGTATAAGTCATTCCATTCTATTGAGAATGTATAAAACTAGATACTAAAGTCATCCCGCAGAACCCACAGGGAGTTGGTTCTAAGAGACCCAGCAGACTCCAGAATCCACAGATGCTCCAATTCCTTGTACAAAACAACAGAGTGCCATGACAGTACTGTCACCCTCAGGATGGGCAGATTCCACCAACTGAGGTTGCATTCAAGGATACAAAGGGCCAATAGTACTATGAATTTTGACTCCTCTATCAGAAATCATAACTAGCTACTCAATTCAATGAGGTGCTCAACAACTTACAGTTAAGGTAATTTGGGTTGGCTAAACACTGTACAAATTCCAACTCCAACTGAAACCGCAGTCGATTTCCAGCATCATCTAGGAGAGAAGATAGCAAAATCATCTAAAATAAATGTCACTGTATAGAATACTGATTTGTAAACAGAAAACAGCAGTACAGACACCTGACTAATGCTGGGTTACATAAAGAAGAGCATGCAAATGTTTTCCTAATCTGGGTGTGGAAGAAGGAAAACGTTCCTTAGAAGTCTAAGGAAAGCAACGCCCTGATTTAAAAAAAAAAATAAAGGTTTATCTAAAGTTAAATTATCAAAGAAAACAAGATCATACATGGAGCAGAACATTAATCACTCGTGAGCCACTATGTTGGGACTTCACAGTGATCAGTAGGATAAGCTGCAGCAATGTGCCTTGCCTTATTTTGATAATACGTTACAAGCTGTTAAGTAATCAAGCTTAGCAAAAGCAAAGTAAATGCTAAATCCATCAAGCGATGTTCAGAATGCAAGATGAAAAAGACCCTGGTGAGTATGCAAGATCAAGAAACGCGTGCTTAGGAGAGACCCGTCAGTGGCACAGTAATTCAAGAGTTCGCTGACGATATTTTAAACTTAGGCAAGCTCATCTGAGATGCAAAAAAACAACTCGAGGAAGCGATTTATAATCCAAAATCTCTCCTTTAGTCTTGCCGGAAGCCGGTGGGGCCAGTGTCTGAATAACCAACGGGGAGAAAGGATCGGCCAACAAAACAAACTCTGAAAAGCCAAATTACCTTCGCCCTTCCAGACGCTAGAAGAGCCCTGGTCCCTCCCGCTCCGATCACTCACTCTGCCGGGAGTTGGGCCTGGATTCTCAAAAAATTCCGGGAAGCAGATGTCTGGGCCTGGGACAGTTTCTATTTGACATCTATTTGACAAAATACGAGGCTCGGAGCGCTACTCACCTGTCTCCATAGCGACGGCCGCGGCCATCACCAGCAGTCACTCTTTAAGTCCCCAGCAACCCCACACAGCCAGGATCGGAGAAACCGGGGAGGTCCGGAAGTCGCGGCGTCCCCTTCCTGCCGCGGGGCCGTGTGGGATGCGGGGGCGGGCACAGCTTCGCAAGGGGGCGGGTGGCTCCGCCCATCCAGGGCCCGCCCCGCCCCGACCCCGCCTCCACCCGGACAGGCTCTTGACAGGCTGGGGGGCGGTGCGGGGGCAGACTGTGCTCTCGAGGGGCCGAACCCAGGTTTCCCAAGGAATCTTAGGCCTCCCTGCCCCAGGATCACGGTGCCTCCACGTGGGTCGCGGGACCTTCGACCACTGCTCTGCCTGCGTCACAATGGCATGTGACGTCGTTCCTCACCTTATAAAATAATCCTTCGGGGATCGTGGGGCGGTGGGGCCTCCAAAGGTCAGCCTAGCCCCGTTACCCCTATAAGATGGCCTCACCCTTTCGGGGAAAGCCCTCTCCGGCCCGGGCGGAATCCATCCGCTCCGAGGAGACGGCGACGGTCAGCGTGGAGACCTCGTCCCATCGCGTGGAGACATCCTACCGTCACTTGCGGACATCTTCCCGGCAGGTGGAGACCACCCAGCGCCGCAGCGAGGAGCCCTCCGTCTCCCGCTCTGGGAAGAGACTCCCTCGAGTCCTCGAGGTGTCCTCCCAGCACGTGGAAACCCGCTCGCAGCTCACGGAGACGGCTTCCCGCCACGTCAGGGCCTCGTCCCTGCGGGTGGAGACGTCTGTGCACCGCGTGGAGAGCCCGCCACGGCGGGAGAAGCCGTCCGCCCGCCAGAACGTCCAAAAGGCCCGATGAAATGCTGCCTTCCTCGGGGCCACATGAGGGCCATGGCCCTTGGCCAGGGCAGAATCGCCTCCAGTTCGCAGCCTGCCTGCTGCCAGGTGGACCGATCATCTTTGGTTTCCTGGAAACAGTCCACAAATCAATTTAAGAAAGAGCCAAGCTGTGGTTCCGGAACTTAGCCAACATTCATTGACCCTCCTGCACCTTGGACCAAAGGCAAGTCTTTGACCCAGTGAACTATTTTAATTTGAAGCCAGCAGAAAAAGTTTTCAGGCTCTAGATGTGTTAAGCTGATGGAAAAGAGACTGTTTGAGCCTCCAAGGCAGGTGAGTTTTTAATTTGGGGCCCCTTGAATGACCTTAGCTGCCTCAAACCTGGAGAAGGAAATGGCAACCGACTCCAGTATTCTTGCCTGGAGAATTCTGTGGACAGAGGAGCCTGGCAGGCTATAATCCATGGGGTCACAGAGAACTGGACACGACTCAGCGACTATCACTCACTCACTGGATGACCTTGGCTGCTTCAAACTTATGGACAAGGAGCAAACAAATTATAACCGGTGGAATTAAATGCCTGCTGCAAACCTGAGGTGCAAGCAACAGACTTTCCTTAATTAGTTGGCCTGTGTTTATGTTTCAATATATTTCTCTTCATACCAAGTCCTTGTGCCTGGTAGCCATGCACACAGGTTTTAATAGAGGTCACACACACACAAAAAAATAGAGGTCACATGTAGTTCAAAGTGAAAAGTGAAGGTCAACAATCAAGAATAATCTTAGAAAGGAAACGTGACCTGTGATTTGAGGAGGTGCAGGGGAGGCATATTTATTGAGTACCTACTCTGTGCTGGGCGTGCATTTGGGCTATAGCAGTGAACAAGGCAAACAGGGTCCTGGCCCTCGGGGAGCTTACATTCTAGTGAAAAGGCAGACAACAGATGACAAACCAAGAGTTTTCTATTGTGATGAGCACTATGAAGGAAACAAACAGGTGATGTGATAGATGCTGACCGGTACCTGTTTTTCTAAGTTAACCTGGTTAGCAACAACTGAAGGCAGGTCAGGGCTACCCCCTAGATCAGTAAATCTTAACAGATTAGTAGGTGGAGCCATTCAAGGCGGCCTTGGCTGGGAATGAAGGGACATGCCTACTTTCAACAATATGTGCTCTTTATCCCATTTAGCAGGATGTAAAGACCTGGATTCTGTGGGACCTCATTGGGAGATAGAGTACTTGCTGTTGGCAGGCACTGTGCCCAGTCATTCCTCACATTAATTCATTTAATTACAGGGGAGTGCACTGGAATAGGGCTCAGGCCAGGGGAATGTCATAAAACCCCAGAGGCACCCCTGATGCTTCTGCTTCATCAAACTTCTGCTATAGACTAATACTTAGACTTTGGAATTTTAGTCTTTGGTGAGCTTACTGTCTCTTTTTAATGTGACAGACCATGTGCATTAGATACACACTCTTAATCAGTGTTTTTAAATGAGCACAGTGCTTGCTTTTCTTTAACTGTCCTTTATTAATGTTTTCATTACAAAAGTGATAATGTGCCTAATGTAACAAATGAAATAATTCAAGATGTGTAGAGAATCGCTTTCCATTTTCATCCTCTGGAAATAATTCGTGTCAGTAACTTGGTGTATATACTTCCAGACCTTTCTGCAATAAATGCTCCTGATCTCCTTATTAGTTGTACCTAGAAAACAGGTTGAAAGGTTACTGTGAAGAAGCCAAGAACTTGATTTCTAGATGACTGACTCTCTTGGAATCTAATCCATTTGTTTTACTTAATAAGGAGACTGAGGCACAGTGTGAGAGCGCCTTGCCAGTCACATGGCACTTAGCCTACCTGCAGTAGCACTGTCCCCCCGGACTGTCAGAACAGCAAGGATTTTACCACTGCAGACTCACTCATTTCGTTGTCAGTGGCCTGTCCACAATACCCGTTAAAGATACCAAGAGAAAGGGCTAGAGTAATTAAATGGTTCTTTAGTGTGTCTTTGATGAGATTCTTTACCAGTCCCAGGGCCACTTTATCCATTAGGCACAGCAGGCTGTAATCCTAGGACCTCAAAAAATGGTTGAAGCTTCAAAAATCCACTGGCTTCAACATCCAAGTAGAAGAAAATAGCAAAATTGAAATTAATAAGGGTCAATGGGCACACCTTGTAATATATGTAACATGATATGGATCAGGACCTCCAAAGATAATATCTAAGATCCAGGCTTAAAATGGCTCTGCCAAGGTAACTCCGAACTGATACTTGGGCTCCAACAAGATGACAAGGGTAAGGCCTCTCTCCAAAAGTGTTAAGACTGATAAGACTTTGATTCCTTTATTTCCTCTTTTCTCTCCCCTAAGCAGACTGACCTTCCCACTGACTGAGAAACTAGACCTCCGATAAGTGAATTCATCCCTCTGGGCCTCACTGCCCCCACTGAAAATGAGATGTTTGGACCAATCTTTGAATATGTGATTCCCAAAGTAAGGAATGCAGACACTGCTGGTGTGTAAGATGATTTTAGGAGGTATGAGAACATTTTTTATTTTGATAATTAAATATTTATTTCAGTGTTTTTCTTTTGTTCAGTCACTAACTCGTGTCTAAGTCTTTGCAACCCCATGGACTGCAGCACACCAGGCTTCCTTGTCCTTCACCATCTCCCGGAGCTTGCTCAAACTCATGTCCATTGACTTGGTGATTCTATCTAACCGTCTCATCCTCTGTCGCTCCCTCTCCTCCTGCCCTCAGTCTTTCCCAGCATCAGGGTCTTTTCCAATGAGTTGGCTCTTTGCATCAGGGGGTCAAAGTATTGGAGCTTCAGCTTCAGCATCAGTCCTTCCAATAAATATTTAGGATTGATTTCCTTTAAGATTGACTGGTTTGATCTCCTTGCTGTCCAAGGGACTCTCAAGAGTCTTCTCCAACACCACAGTTCAAAAGCTTCAATTCTTTGGCGCTCAGCCTTCTTTATGGTCCAGCTCTCGCATCCATACACAACTACTGGAAAAGCCACCCAGACCTTTGTGGGCAAAGTGATGTTTCTACTTTTTAATGCTCTGCCTAGGTTTGTCATAGATTTGTCTTTTCTTCCAAAGAGCAAGCGTCTTTTAATTTTGTGGCTGCAGTCGCTGTCCACAGTGATTTTGGAGCCCAACAAAATAAAATCTGTCACTGTTTCTACTCTTTTCCCCATCCATTTGCCATGAAGTGATAGGACCAGATGCCATGATCTTCATTTTTTGAATGTTGAATTTCAACAGTGAATTATATATAATATAAATATAAATGGATTATATACATATATATAATTTTATATATGTGTATATAACTAACATTCATACTTGTTATTTCACCAATATTTTACTTAAGCTATAGTGGGCATTTTTAAATGTTTAAATTAATTGATTTAAAGAAAAAATAGATTCCATAACAGTCGGCCTTCAGTGTGGCCAGAAATTTGAAAGTGATATGGAACACACTGATTAGTGTTTGGGAAATGAGGCACTAATTTAGTTCCCTAAGTGAATGGATTTTTAGATGCATGAGAAAGCCTGGGACTGTGCGGTCTACTTATTGTATTGTAATCAGCATTTTTCTTACTCATGAAATAAAAAATAGAAAATATACAACATATCAGAGTGTTCACACATAGTAAAGGTAAGAATTGCTTTGTGAAATTTTTCTGTATTGTCACAGCGTGCTAAGTTTCCTCAGTCATGTCCAACTCTTTGCAACCCTATGGACACTGTCCTTGAGATTCTCTAGGCAAGAATACTGGAGTGGGTTGCCACGTCCTCCTCCAGGGGATCTTCCCAACCCAGGGATCGAACCCGGATCTCTTAACATCTCCTGCATTGGCAGGAGCGTTCTTTACCACTAGCACTGCCTGGGAAGCCCTGTCACAGTGTAAAATATGTTAATATTGGGAGTCACTATCCGGAAAGCTGAAAAAAGAAAATGCACCCTCTGAGTCCGTGCCAGTGTCTGAGTTTGTGCCATGACAGACCGTGGACAGCAGAGGTCAGACCATCCCCACACCACGGCAGCAAAGGCTGATCCTTGGCTGAGCAGAGATCTCAGGGACGCGCCAGGCAGCACAGAGGCCTGAGGCCAGGCCTGAGGTGACGGAAAATCACAGTTGTTAACGGACAATCCAGCTTGTTTGCCTGCGGCAGTGACCACTTCTGAGAGGGACCAGAGCTCCAGGAGCTCCCTGGCCCTCCCAGGGAGCACTCCAGGCAGCACTGCCGCAGCCACTTCCCAGCCTCCACCCGCAAGCCGCCTTCTCATCTCTGAACTTTTCCCCGCACCCTGGGGATGCTTCCGTGTCTGGTGCTTCTCAGTCTAAGGCCCTGTGATTCAGGATTAGGCCCAGCCACGTTCGTCTTGAAAATCAAAGCATCTTCGTGTGATACGCCCACACTGATTTAAGGGTGGACATTCGTGTTACACGTTCCATTCCAAAACGAGCCTTGAGAGTGGAGACCAGCCAGCACATGGTGAGCACTCACTCTCCCCCAGGCACTGTTCAGAACACCCCTGCCTCCACACCAGCATGAGGTGGATCAGAACACGGGAGCACAGAGAGGTTAAGGCACCTACCCCGAGTGACCAGCCAGGAAGAAGAAGGGCTGAGACCCAAGCTGACTCCAGAGCTTGTGCCCGTAACCACTAGCTTCTGCTGACTCGAGAGGCTGGAGAGCCAGAGAGCCTTCCCAAGTCTCTTTCTTTTTTTTTAATTTCTTTTTTCCCCCCAAGTCTCTTTCTGTTAATCCCAGTGTCACGTCCAGCATCCTCTTTGGTCCACATTCTCCCTGATCCTCCTGTAACACTTGACCCCGAGGACCATCCCCTCCTCGAAATTTTCTCCTCCATTGGTTTCCATGGAGGAGAAAATCCTTCCTGTACGCAAAGCCCTGCCCCATTTCCACCCTCACCAAGGAGCCTGGTCTTCCACCCAACCTTGAGCCGGCTTCCCGAATCTTCTCACTCCCCACTGCC